TGTGTTTTTTGAAGCCAGTGATTAAGAGCAGTTTACAGTCAAAGGGTGGGGAATTTAGCACCACCATTTGAAGAGGACATGTCAAATAATGTATTGCCATACTGCATAACTCCTACAGAAAGTGTTCAACTGAGTAAAAATAAATGGGATTAATTTACAAAATATAACTTCATGATAGCATACCCCAAAATTATAGAGGAAAATAAACAGACCATGTATCCCCAAAGAGCCTTGTGAATATGTTTTGCCTAATATAAAATATAATTATAATTTATTAACTGTTTACTATGGCTTTGATAATTGCACACCCATATTTTAAGGGATAAGGAAACGTAGTACTTTTTGAATTTATTGATACCTCCTTACCTCTCTGCTGATGTTGCTGCATCTCTCTCTTTCTCTCTCTCAATGGCTCATAACTTTTATGCCAAAGTCCTCATGTTGCACACAAAATGCCACTGCAAGCAAACTACATGCTAGCAGCTATGTATAGAGGGGATGCATCACCTCAGTAAATATAACCACTTGGCACAATTCAAAGCTAAAAAGTCAAGCAGGAGGAGTCTGTCCTTGACACTCATTCTCTAGATCCTTTCCAGCAAAACCCATTGTCCTTTCTATCTCCTTCTCTACTAACACAGCACTCTTGGCCCAAATGACAAAGTTGTGTATGTCATCTCCTTTTCTGCATTGTGCTTCCAGCATTTTGCTGATTCTCATTTAACTAATGTTCTTTTTGTTTCCTACTGTTAACAAGTTCATTCTTAATCTTTTTTTAACAGAGAGCATTATTGCCTCTATAATCCATTGACTGAAACCATAGAAATCAGAGAGAAATACACCTAAATTCAAGAATTGGCAATGTCAGTTAACATCTGTGTGGCCTTGAAAAGTAAATTAGACTCTGAGTTGCAGCAAAGGATAAAATGTAGGTCAAAACAATATTTAACTGTTAGAGTTATTGTGAAATTAATAATATGAGTAAAAATGAGACAATGAGTATAGTCCTATCAAATGATGGCTTCTATTACTAAACTGTTTCCTTGATGTATAAATATTTCCTCACTTCCTGCTATATGTCTAAATCTGAATAATTTTCAAAACGTTTTGTAAATTCCACCTCTTCTATGAGTCTTTCACAAGCTTTATTCTCTCCTTTTCATATATTTTTTAAGAATGTTGATATAGGTTATGCTATTTTTAACTTTATAGACAATGAAAAATGGAAATAAATCCACGGCAGATGCTGTTGAGATCTTATAGCCACTTTCCCACGTCCACCAGGGTTTGTTTGCAATTGTAGTAACTTGGCCCTGCCCGCAGGAAGGGAGTTAGTATAAACCTACCCAGAAGCTCCCCATCGGGAGGGAGCCCAACTTTTCACAGGATAAACCTACTATTTGATATTCTTTTTTATTCATTTTACTTCCTTCCTTGGCACACTTCCCTTAAATCTACTTAAGCTTCTTGGATTCACCTCTCAAATACACTGCCAGTTTCAAGTCGTTGTCTCTGATTTTTCTTTTGGGGGAAATCTGAAGAGGTGCCCGTATTATCGAGTCTCTACTGTGTTATGTATCATTGTCTTACTTCATACTTCAAGATTCTTGTTGAGTTGGGTATTATGGAAATTAAAGACTCAAAATAATTACGTTATTATGACTTGTTTGGAATTGTAGTTATTAAGTAGGAAACCTAGCACTCAAAATCCTTTTTTAGCCATTTCTGAATTAATGTTTGTGTGGGAAAGAATAAAACATTTCAGAGAATGCTAAAGGAAATGCATTGCAAAAAAATGAGTCAGATAAAATTAAAGCTCTTTCTTAGGTTTGGCTGAGATGAAGAAGATACAGAAACAGAATATAATAATGCCTGGAGGCATTGTATATTGGACACTTATGTCACTTAAGTGCCTTATTTAGGGTCCACTTTCTTCATTCTGGAAAATAAAGACAGAAGCACTAGCAGCTGAGAGCTCCAAATGAGTCGGATTTCATAAGATAGTATTAGAAATATTGTGACGTAACCAATGAACCAACAATCAATACAAGTCAGACTACTTACGATCTACATCAGAGAATTGTAAAACTGAATATGCTTTAAGACCCTATGCTATTCCATATTGGGGCGTGAGAGCAGAGAAATCTTCCATCTCCTTAGAATGTGTGAGGAAGACGTGAAGTATAACTTACCAGGAATATAACAGATAACTTATAAACAGCAGAGTCAAATCAGCATTAGACAATTGTAAAACCACAAAGACATACAGGGGGAATCAAGAGAAATCATGACGGGCCCGGCACCATGGCCTAGCAGCTAAAGTCCTTGCCTTGAACGCGCCAGGATCCCATATGGATGCCAGTTCTAATCCTAGCAGCTCCACTTCCCATCCAGCTCCCTGATTGTGGCCTGGGAAAGCAGTCGAGGATGGCCCAAAGCTTTGGGACCCTGCACCTGCGTGGGAGACCTGGAGAAAATTCCTGGTACCCGGCTTCGGATTGGCACAGCACCAGCCGTTGCAGCTCACTTGGGTAGTGAATCATTGGACAGAAGATCTTCCTCTCTGTCTCTCCTCTTCTCTGTATATCTGACTTTGTAATAACATAAATAAATAAATAAATCTTTAAATAAAAAAGAAAAAGGAGATCCTGACAACCTCTTAACAGGAGGTCACATGCACAGAGAAGTGGGGGACCCCAGAGTGGAACAGGTGGACAGGAGGAAGCTTGTATCCCAACCCTGGAGACTCCCAGATCCTCACCAAGGACTATCAGTATGGGTACCAAGGACTACATCTCAACGGCCAAGGAGACCCAGGGAATTGGAGTGCTTTCAGAGGCCAAGAACTCTGAAGTCATCCACCCCTGTTTGGATCTACCACATGAGATGAAAGAAGCCCAAATCCTTCCTTGCAGGATCCAAGGTCATCGGAACAACAGCCAGGATCCATGAGCAGTCCACAGAAACAGAAGAACAGTAAGCTTACTTCAGAACCCAGGAGAGCAGCTTTCCCTGGTCCTTACTTAGTTCCAACTTTGGATCCCCACCCTCTCTTGCAAAGACCATCAGGGTCACTCTGGAGCCCCACATCCCAAAACACACACACACACACACACACACACACACACACACACACACACACACACACACAAATAGATAGACAGAGAACAACATGGAAAGCTTAGAACTAGACAGGAAACTCACATATACCTTACTAGGTAGGACACAAAGATTAGTTGCTCCTCACTAAGGCATTGAAGATTTCTCTGTACACCCCTCCTAAAACTGTTCTGCACTTCAACTGTTGACATACGCCTTGTTAGAGTTACAAGCCAGTTTAGACTATCCTAAAATCTGTCAAAATCAGTAAAAATTATGCTTCAACACTATAAACTGCTAAATACTGAAATGAAAATAGACACAAGACAGCTGAATAGTATCCTATAGCCATTTTAAGGTGTATAGCAGCCGGTTGTATATAAACTAAAATTGAAATGTCAATGAAGTAGTCACAGGATGTGGTTAAGAACTTGCATTTTCTAACATATTTGTTATTCAATACCATGTCAATTAAGTCCATAATGTTGTAAATTGTTGTTGAAGTTGTGCGGTGACTTTTCATTGGAGGGGATGATATTCTGCCAGCTCTGCTTTCAGACCAGAGATGGTCTCCCCAGGAAACCATTGAATTTACCTGGACAATTAGATGCTGGACTCTATGCTTGGTATATGCTTGCAATGGAATAATCTTGACTGAATTTGAGCTGTAATACTGCAACAAGGTGTAGGAATCTACCATGGACAGAGGGAGGGTCCGGGGAGGGGTTGGGGGAATCCCAGAGCCTATGAAACTGTGTCAAATAATGCAATGTAATTAATAATAATAATAATAATAATAATAATAAAGTATTAGAGGATGAAACTGATTTGACCTCTATGACATTGGAAGAAGCATTAGACAAAGAGAATTTTCTGTGCACTTAGATACTGAAAAGAAAGGCTTGAATTAATGGAAAAAATCTTGAGAAAAATTTATTTTCTATGTTAAAATTCTCATTCAAAACTGATCTTTCTTATGTTCCCAAGTCACACAGAATTAACTATGACTGAATTATAACATGAACTGTCAAATCCAGCAAATGCGAGTAAGAAGATAGCTGGGCAAAGTAAGAACATAGGTGGGCAAATATTAAGGAAACAAAAGACAAAAGTATGTTTTCCACAGGCAAAGCCAATTACCAATTCATTTACCATATATATTGGTATTCTTTTTTAAGCAAATTGCGGAAGTCAGACAAATTCAACTAGAATGAGAGCCCTTCCCAACTAACTGATGAATGTTACTGTTTGTGATTTTGTGGTCCAGCAATCAAATCGAGTGTAAGCGTCTCAAAAAATAAATGATGTCTTTGTTTGAGGTGTGAATTCCAGCGTCCTCATAGGACATAAAGTTGTGTCCCTGGTTTTAATGATTTGAGCACATTTGACATCAGCATGAAGTTACTATTTGCCTTAATAATGTCACATGAAATTACACAGATCTAATCAGTTTTGGTTTTATCCGTGAGTTTTTAGACAGTTTTCATTTATGTAGAGCCCAAAAGTATTACATCATATTATTTACTTCAAATTTTTTAGCTCTGTGATGAAGTCATTTAATCTTGAGCTCTAGAAAAAAAAATATCTTCGAGCCAGGCAAGCTTTTACAGTATGACCTCTAATTCACATTTTAATAGATGTCACTTTCTATGTGCATTACCTCATGTTTTGGCTGCAGCCCAAATAAATCCTGAGAAAGTAAGAGAAATGTGCTTGCTAACTCATTCATCCATATTTTATTTCACTTTTCATTAAGAAATTACCGCTTGAAGGAAATCAATAATGTTCTGTGACTGAGGGAAGTGGCTCATGTGTAGCAGTCATGCGTTCTAACATTTGAAATCATGCTGTCTTTAACCAGATGTTGCTGATAGAGATTTTGTCCTTTGTTATTCTTGCAGCCTGGGTACATGGCGACCCTAGGAGAGTGGCCTATCCTACAGACAGTGACGGTCACTTTTGTGGCCAGAAGGGCACCCCCTATGAGTGAGTATGGATACTTTTCTTCTGTGTGATGTTACTGTCTACTCTGGAGCCTGTTTTTCTTAAGAACTTTGAAATTCATGATTCAAGCCTTGCCTTCTACATTTCCTACAGACATCTGTGAGCAGCTGGGTACTGCCATACTGTATGACTTCAGTAGCAACATTATTGTAATATAGCATTTTATTGGAACATATGAAATCTCTGCTTAGTAAAAATACAATTCTAATGGATGGATTCGACCAGTAATTTTATTAGAAGCCATTTTCCAAAGTGCTTTATGAAATGGGCTGTTGGAAGAAGTTGTCACTAAGTAGCAATTAAAGAGCTAGATGCACAGTTGTTAAAAATTGTCACAGTGCCCACTGATAAATCATTCCCCCTTTCAAAGTGAAGCGCGTGCACAGAAGGGCATGGACAGAAAAGGTTTCAAGCCAACCTGGCTTATGTGAACAATGTCCCTTTCCACCAAATTTCTACCAACCTTCCTCACAGCAGAAGTTTCCAGTTCTCAAAGGAGGTTTTCTATTTCTTTACCTAAAAAACACCAACAAAAGAAGCCCCATAAATTCACATTTGTAGGAAACTGTTCCTTCTATTTCATTAACCTATTTTCTGTTACTACCCGTCGTGTTTTGTTGCTACATCGTCTGTCTCTTCAGAATCAATTCAGTTTCTACACAGGTTGCTTTGAATGGATGAAACAAAGAAGATCAAGAGCAGGTTTCTCCTCAGTAGCAACAACAAAATCCTGGCTCAAGACACTTCAGTTTTGTTTCTCCCTTCTGTCCACTTGCAACATGAAACTTGTTATTCTAAGAGATACGCAGACTTAAGAAAATTAAGTTCAGGAAAGGATAATAAAATTCATAGAGCAAATTCATTACAGATAATTAAGAAAATTCAGGCTTGGAAAAAGGTAAATTATTATTCATAGTTCTGTAGTCTATGTGAGGTTGAGTTTATGGGGGGACCAGTTGACTCCTGAAAAGGTCCTTGCTGCTTAGTAGAAACAAATGGACTAAACTGTGACCCAAATTAAATTCTTATTTTAACTCAATATCTTAGGAAGTCCTAGATGCTGCCAACAAAGCCTTCACACTAAAAAGGACAAAGAAAGCACCAGGTGGTAAAAAAAAATCCAATATATATCTTTATATCTTCAGTTCTTTAAACAGGCTATTTTTAAGAGGACTTTTTGTAACAATAAGTCTTCTAAACTTAGACAATGATCTATTTATTTTAAACAAAAATGTGACACCACAACTTTTATTCTCAATATAGACATATTCATTAAAATATAATTTATAATAGCAACATATTAGAAATCATACAAATTTCCAACAATATGTGATTGATAGTAAATTATGTACTATCCACTGAATTAAACAGAGACGTTAAAAGCTATGTTTATATTTTCAGTCGTCAATACTCTTGATTTTTCCCTCAGAGTCTCAGGATTTTGTATCATGTTTACATATGTCTTTCTCCTCCTAAAAACATTCTCCTTTATTTTATCGACTTTTGTTGCTTCCTTTCTATATTTAAATTTATAGTTAAATTTACTTTATATATAAAATAAAGTAAGCCCCAAGGTTTCCTTTTTAACTGATTATAAAATTAATTATTTCAACATTTTTAATAATATTCTCATTTCACCCTTTTATTTCTAAAAATTATCCTATAATGAATGTATATATTTGCTTCCAAACCTTCTAACATTTCCATTGCATAATATAACAGCTGAATATATTTCTTACAAGATGTGTATTTGTGTAAAATATAATGTTATTTTAAATTATGTTCAAAGCTTTAATAGTTGCCAAAAATACAAAATTTCAATTTTATAAACATGAGTTCAAGTGTATAAAAGTGTCCCAAAGGAAAATATTGGAAGGATCACATCAAAATAATTACATTATACAGTTTTTAATGGCCATAAAATTAGGCAGAATGAAATACATGCAAATATAAATATTGAGTATGATAAAGAAACATTCTCAAATCAGTCACAGGAGAGTGGGTTATTAAATAAATTGCATTGAATTAATCAAAATATAATTTATTAAAATTAAATAAAATTGGACATTTTAATCAGATGTTATAGCAACATTAAAGATTTTATGAATAAAATAAAAATGTAACAGCAAAATGTAGAAATATATTTATGAAATTGTTGGATTAAAAAATGTTTTATAAGCATAATATTAAAGTCAGAAAAGATAATGAAGTTTTGGAGAATTTCACCACACAAAGCAAAACCACCTTAAGTCACTGCAAAAAAAAACAAGTTAAAAATGGCAACCCAGAAAAAAGGAAATATTTTCACAATATATGAATATATCTAAAAATTAATCAATAGCTTTATTGTATGAATTGGCATTACAAAAGCAAAACAAAGGGGCTGACCATTCAACACAAAAGCATAAAAATTCATTATCGGGCCCTGTGCGGTGGCGCAAGTGGTTAAAGGTCCTCGCCTTGCACGCCCCGGGATCCCATATGGGCGCCGGTTCTAATCCCAGCAGCCCCGCTTCCCTTCCAGCTCCCTGCCTGTGGCCTGGGAAAGCAGTCGAGGACGGCCCAAAGCTTTGGGAACCTGCACCCGCGTGGGAGACCTGGAAGAGGCTCCTGGCTTAGGACCGGCATAGTATCAGCCCGTTGCGGCTCACTTGGGGAGTGAATCATCGGACGGAAGATCTTCCTCTCTGTCTCTCCTCTCTGTATATCCGCCTTTCCAATGAAAAAATAATAAAAATAAATCTTTAAAAAAAATTCATTATCAAGAAAACTATATTGAGCTATGGGATGGATTATGGCTTGCGTCCAGCACCCTGTGGATACCTAAGGCTGCTGATGCTCAGATTCCTTAGCTAAGATAGTGTTCCAAAACTTCCTGTCTAAATCATCTTCAGTTTGCTTATGATGCCTGTTCTAATGTAAAGGCAATGTAAGCAGTTGTTATTATATTGCTTGCGGGGTAATGACAAGGAAGCAGTCTGTACGTGGTTAGTACTGATAATTTTTTTTAATATTTTCAACTTGAGATTGGCTGAGCCTGAGGATGTAGAACACGTGGTCACAGAGGGTTAACTGTGTAAGAGCTAACAATGTTAGAAAATGCTGTTCAACAAGAAGTTTTAAAAATACAAATTAGCAAAGAGATCATTTTTGCCCAATCGATTGCCAGGTAAATTAAAAGTCTAAAGTCTTCAGTGCTGGGCAGAATGAGGAGAAATGAGCAACTCATTTTCTGATGGTATTGTAATATAACATTTATCAAATTTTATGAAACTTGCATGCTCTTTGAGCCACTAGTCTTTATGGCATGCATAATATAGTTCCATCTTGTGGATAAGTTTTCCCTGTTAAATTCACTTATATAAAAGCACCAACAATGCCAGGGGAAAAGTCTGAAAGCATATAGAAGTGCTAACTGTAACATTTCTGGGTGATTATATTTTTATTTTTACTCATATTTTTTGAGCTCCTTTTCTACCCTAAACTGTGGAAATTGAAATTATTGGGAAATTACTTGTGCTTATGAGGCTTACATTTCAATTAAACGGAGATTGGAGAAAAATATGTAAACAGGATAACTTCAAACAGTGATAAATGCTGTGAACAACAGGTGCAAAGGCAGCCTGACAAAGAATGGCAAGTGTGCTTCAGAGGAAACTATCCCCTAGTTGCATGGGTAGGTAGAGATTTTGTGAGGAAGTGAAGACTAGGAAGAGGATAGCCCTTCAGAAGCTATCAGAGAGCTTTCATGGGAGACTCAGCTAGGGCCAAAGTCCTGAGGCAGGAGTGAACCCATAATGTGCAAGTAGAGAAGAAAGCTGGGAATGTGGCAAATCAAGGAATGAGCAGATCAGAGAACATGTAGAAATCAGATTTTTTGGGTTGCATGAACTCTGTCTACATATTTGGATTATGTAAAATGCAGGAATGTCTAAAGAAAGTCATTCAGCAAGAGACTCAACCCACTTCCCATTAGCAAAAATTCTTGCTGCCTTTTGCATACCTTCTTGAACATTTTCAGCTGTTCACAATAAATTATTTCAATTTTCTTTTTATATGCATTGTAATTTTCTACCAAACTTTTGCCTTTAAATTCCCCTCAAATTTTCCAGAAATGAAAGACTTGATAGAAAGCCACCCAAGTGGAGGCAACAGAGTACCTTAATAAAACTATTTTTAAAAATGTAGACAATACATTTTTGCAGAATGTATCTCCATCATTTACCCTTGAGCATGGGACACAATCTACCTTAGCCTTCATTTCCTGATAATTATGGAAAAATTAAATGAGAGAAATAATTTAGGAGAAACTTTCATTGCCCTTTCCATTTGCAAACACTCCCATATTTCATACCACATCACTTCATACCACACCAATGTAACCTAAGCAATATACTGGATATATTACGCAATGCAATATATTGGAGCTATCCCAGCAAATTCAACATGCATTTCTTCCTTAAGAATTTCTGTAGAGGAATCAAGAAAGCCAAGCCTTCCAGTCTGGTGTGTTCAGCACAGCATTCTATTTTAATGTGTTAATAAGCCCGTGCAAAGCAGCCTCTGCCCTCATCTCCTTTCTTTCATGAGATCTTGATTTGCTGTCTTGGGTTCTGAATTTACCAGATTATTAATTTGTTGATTTTATCTCTCCCTATTGGACCCAGAGTTCTTTGAGATCAGCGATATTCTCTTTTCCTTGTTGTCTCCAAGGCTCCTACAACATTGTCTGACATTATAGTAGATGAGTGGGAATAAAGAGATAGTCAAAAATAATTTGTTCTTAAATTAGAAATCAATATAAAGATCTTATGAGAGCCTCAAACAGTATTTTATAAAGTGGTCATCAGCATTATTGCTTTCATTTGGAAAATTAGGGAATTCGAATTGCAAAAAGTTATAGTCCTTTTTAATGTTCCACTGAATACTAAATGGTGAAGAAAGCAAGCGCTAACCAAAAGCTTATGCCCTTTAGGTTGCACATTAATGAAGCTGCAGTTGTTGCAGTCATTTAAAGGAAGGAAGGAATCAGCAGATGGAAAATGTCTTTCTGACTCTTTTTCTTTTTTTTTTTTTGAGATTTATTTATTCTGGGGCTGGCACAATAGATCAGTGGCTAGATCCTTGCCTTCCATGCGCTGGGATCCCAGGTGGGCGCCCACCCTTGCTGTCCTGGGAGCTCCACTTCCCATCCATTCCCTGTTCTTCTCTCTCACTCACTTCCTCCCTCTATCTCTGTTATGCTTTCAAATTTAAATAAACACGTTCTTTTAAAAAATCACGCATACAAATAAATGTGCGCAGGTGTGTGTACTTCTATGCCAAAATGAAATCTGTTATATCAAGATGAGTAATTTGGTTTAGCCCTAATCTTGGGAAACATAATTGTCAGATTTCAAGAATTTGTATTTGTAACTGCAATGATGTACTTGCAGAAATCTTTTAATTTCCCACTCGAGCAGACATTCCTTGTAACTAGACTTAAATTCCATATTTAGAGACTGTGTGAAAATCTCTGGAATCTGGGTTCAGCCTCTGTGTTTACTGTATGTATGCCTAACTAAAAGGACTCCAAGAGAAATTAGTAAGAGTTTTCCAAAATGTCGTGAAACAGACTTCAAAGAAAAAAAGTTTATTTGTTGTGTTTTCAACTTTCTCTTCCTTTTTGAATTTCAAGAAAGTTCTTCACAACACTTCAGTACAGACCTTTGGTTTAAGATTTCAACTACTAAGCAAGAACTTGATTGATTTTGATGCCACCTTCTGGCCATTGCAAAAACTTCACCTCACAAAGATTGTGCTAAAATAACTGATACAGTAAATAACTGTTAAAGTGTCAGATACAGCAACACTGCCAGATTAGGCAGAAATTTCATCATTTCCAAAAGAGGTCCTGATAAAGTAACAGGGAAAATTAAGAGGACAAAGCTCTTGCATTCAAGTTTTCTGTAGTAACTGACATCTAAGAGAAAAAATAGCAAGTTTGTCCATATTTCACTGAGAGAAGAAAGTCACAAAATGGCAACAACATCCCACAAGTCTGATTGAATACACTAAAAGCTCAGGTCAATTACTTGGTTTAATTTTTTAAAGGTTTATTTATTTTTATTTGAAAATCAGATTTTACAGAGAGAGAAGGAGACACAGGTCTTGCATCTGCTGGCTCACTCTGCAGATGACCACAATGGCCAGAGCTAAGCTGATCCAAAGCTAGAAGTCTTCTCTTGGTCTCCCATGTGAGTGCAATCTCCCAAGCACTTGGACCACCGTCCCCTGTTTACCCACACCACAGAGAGCTGTATCAGGAGTGGAACAGACAGGACACAGACCAGTGCCAATATGAGATGCTAGCATTAGCAGGCAGAGAATCAAACCTCTACGTCTCTATGCTGGCCCTTTGTTTAATTTTTTTATGTAAGTATCCAAGCAGCGTATGCATGTGAAAGTAAATCAAACAAAAATGAGTAGCTTATAATGAAAGCAGTGGTCTCCCCTTTTAAGTCTCCTGACTTACAATACATTTTATTTTAGAGATTTATATATTTGAGAGAGAAGAGAAAGAGAGAGAATGAGAATCTTCCAGCTTTCAATTGACTCGCCATCTACCTGTACCAGCTAGGACTGGTCCAAACTGAAGCCAGGAGCCTGGACTTCCATCCAGGTCTCCCAGAAGGGCACAGGAGCCCAAGAACTTGTTCCATTTCCCACCACTTTCCCAGTTGCATTAACAGCAATCTGAAGAAGTAGTAGAGCAGCAGGGACCCAAAATGACATTCTGATGTTGGATGCCAGTATTGGAGGCAGCAGCTTAATGTGCTGCACCACAATGCAAGCTGGAGCATCATGCCTTTTTGTTATATATTCTGCTTCAGTTAGTCTCACTATACCCAATTTTTTAAAGATCCATCTTATGCTCTAAATTATATTAATTTCTTCCAGTTTCTGTCTCCTTTAATGTTTCTTTTTTGTCTTCACAATGCTCTTATACTCCTGATGTTATCTGTATGCCCATTGCTTCTAAAGAAAGCACTATATCTGTGTGGGGTTGCTTTACTGCTGTGTATGGATCAGTTTTCCTGGGAGATCTCCGTGCTGTGTTTATGGGGTTATGTATATTTTCAGGTTTCTCTGCAACATTCACTAATGGGAAACTAGATGTGAGACATCAGTTTTCACTATATAAAGGATTATAGACTGTGATACCAAATTCTGCAACAGCTTTTGCTATGCCCAGAAGATTCACTCAGCAAAAGAAGTCTCTGTTTTTTGTCTTTTTTCCTCTGGATGCTGGAGTTTTAAGTATTGGAGAAGTACAGAGATGTCGATGCCTATTGGATATAAATCTTTCACTAATGTCCCTCTTTTGGACCACACATCTTACTATCAACTCTGAGGCTGGTGTGTTTCTTCATTCATAGACAGTCATGTCCCATCCTCCCTATTACCTTGAGCAGTATATTCAACGTATTTTCACATTCATCCCATCTGAAGAATTGTCAAACTCTCTTGTGCAAGTGTGGAATATCCCATTCTCCAAATCTTAAGCTATGATCGTAAAGTACATTCTTAGTTTTTTGTACTTATTCCATTTCAGTGAGTCTTAGGAGGAAAGAAAGGTGGACTTGCATGCTCAGTACATCAGCGTGAGCTAACAACTTGTAGTTATTTCCATTTTTTCTTCTTGGTACAAATACAATTCAAGTTAAATAATGAGTGACTGCTTCACTCACACAGAGCTGCTCAGCTGAAATCACTACTAATTTTTACATAAAGAATCTGATGCCCGCTGCCATATGTGAGGGTATTCAAGAGACTCGGAGGATGACTGGATTTCTACTGAAAAGCTAAGGAAGATTCTTACTTAAACCACAAAAAAACATACTGTAGAATTGGTCTTATTTAGTCTCCATTTGATAAGTGGCTAAACTGCGCTAAGTATTAGGTTCAATTCTGGCAAAGTCATGTTATAAAGAAAAATAAGGTATAAACCTTATCCTTGAGGCAAGCATAATCTAGTGAGTAACCTGAGTGTATGTAGAATTTTACAATTTATAAGTCATTTTTATTTGCAGTGAACTCTTAACACTTACTGATTTACCACTCACACTTTTAAGTACTCCTGAGGGATCGCAATGACCCGTGGCCTGTAACAGTTTATTCACTGAGTTAGGTCCATATTTGAATCCCATGCACAGTGAGACTGTGTAATAGTTCATTCAGTAGTGAAAGAGCCAAGTTGCCATTTATGGATCTCAAAAAATAGGCTGTGGATAGTGTATATGAATTTATAACCAGCTTCCTGAGTCATTTACGTCTCAAATGAGACAAACATGATATAAATATATTTTTCTTCTATTACTGCTTTTAATATTGTTCTTTCAAATCTGCCATTTTCTTGCATTGCCATTTAGAATACACAGATTTTAGGCACGTTCCGATAAATTCAATGTATCCCATTTTGAAATTTCTGTCTCATTTTTGCTATCTTCCAACTCAGGTTTAAATTTGCCAGGGAATTTTGAGTGGGAAAGAATCTGAGTTTTCCCTCCTCTTCTCTCTCTTTTTGAATATTTATTCTTCTTAAATACTTAGGGCAGCCTTTCCTAATATGTAGTTCATAGACCATCCATACCTGAATCCACTGGGCAGCCAAAGAGGGAAAATTCTGGGACCTCAGATACAGAAATTTGGGCTCCCAAGTGTTGAAAAAGAATCAGAAATGAAACATTTCCATAAACTCCCATGTACATATTTATTTTAAGAAATCATAAAAGTAGAAAAAACTCATAAATATGTAAATAAATTTGTTTCTTTATGCATATTTTAAAATTATGCAAAATTAAAGTCAGGTTATGCTTAAATATTCTTTAGCAACATGTTCATTAAAATTATTATGAATTCTGGCACACGTTAAACATGTTCTTCAACATTATTTTCAATGGCATCAGCAAATTCTACTCTATGAATGTGTAATTCTGTATTTACTCCATTCCCCACTGGTGAGTAATTTGATTATTTTAACTTTTTTCTGTAATAAAGAGATGCTCTAAGTGTTATTCACCTTACGAGGATGTTGGAAGACACACTGCAACTGCCAAATATAAAGAAAATGAAGCCAATATTTCATGCATGAAATGTGTTTCAGTTTTGAATGATATGGTGCATTCTCACTAGAATGATTCTTTTGTCTTGGTCCCTAACAGGAACAAGACCTTTTTGTTTTACTTTAACCTGTTCAGCTGTGCCAATCCCTCTGTGCTGATCAATCTGCAGTGCCCTACCACACAGGTAAGGCAGGAGCTGCCTCCCTGATAATGGCAGTAGCTTTGGGCATGCTTGGAGAAGGCAATTCAGAAATTCTGTTTGGTTTTCTGTGTGTGTTTGACCCATTATGAGTTTATAGAAGATGGCAAGTTGTAAGTATGAATGTGTACTTGTTCACATACAATCAAAACTGAAGAGGAAATTATCGATTATCATCTTAGAATCACTAAGGAGTCCTTGTAATTTTGTCTAATCACCTTCTTTTATAGATGAATAATAGAAACTTAGAGAAAGAGAGGTATTTTTGCCGATAGTGTATTAAAGAAAAACCAGTTACAATAACTAGTAAATCCTCATTTTCAAAGAGTTATCACAATAATGTTTGGTTTCTGACCATGTAACAGTACAAGGCAGATTTCTGCGGTCAGTGAACTGCTCTCCTCCACACTTGCTGTCCCTGCAGTTATCTCACCTGCATCCAGCTGCTAGGACACAATAGGGATCAACTAAGCACACCTCTGTTAAAAACCTTAGATTAAAGATGTCACACTTTGCTTTTCTATTTTATGCTTTAGACACAGACTAGTCTTCTGTGGTCAAACCTAGATGCAAGGAAGAGCGTGGGCGGGGAGCAACGTACTTAATAGCTGAGCAAGTAGTTTTTATAAATGGTTCAAGAAGCACAATCCTCAGTAAACACTCAATTATATGTTCAGCAGTCTAACCTTCTGGCCTGTAAGTACCCTTATGCTTTCAAAAAAGAACTCTGAGATTCATGCATTGGTCTTTAGCAAAGTTCAGGACGTATGAGGGGTACATAGTTCTCTCCGTCAGGACTTGTTTCTAAACACAAGAAGAAACAGAGATAGGAAAAATAAAATTGCAAGTTCCCAGTTAGAATGGGAAAAGTGACAAATATACAACAGTATGGTCACAGCAATGGAGAATGTCCTTCATCTGACTCACACTGCATTCTACAAGAGGAACTCTCACACCCATCATATCTTGTAGCCCTTTGCTCAGATACCTATGAGGTTATTTCCTGCCCATGTGTCACCAGGCCACGTGAATGCCAAGCGCCGGTCTGTAGACCCTTCTTGAGGGCCATCTAGCTGTGAAGCACCACTAGCAATTGTGCAAGTTTAGTGAAAGATTAGGAGCCATCAAAGACTGCCTCAGGATTGACTCGACATTTCAAGTGCTTTGGAAACATAACAGGCTTCTGCCTCGCTTGCTGCTTGCTTTCAGCCAGAATACACAGATTTTGACACGTTCCAATAAATCCATTGTAACCCATTTAAAAATTTCTTTCCTATGCCAATAGCCACATCCATTGTTCTTCTCTAGAACTGGTTTGGAAATCTGCCTTATTTGCTTTTTTTGTTCTAAGTTACACAAATAAATTTCTAGATTATCCTTTGTACTTCACACAGCATTTGACTCTGCAATCTAACTCATTCTCCCAAGCTCCAAAATAAAATTTATGTTACAGTGTTAAGCCAATCTAAACTAAAAATGTGAAAATGGTGATAAAAGGCCTGCCACTTTGGTGTGCCAGATACACCACGGCCTGCAGCACCAACGTCCTTTATGAGTGTCAGTTTGAGTCTTGCATACTCTGCTTCTGGCCTAGCTCCCTGCTAATGACCTAGGAAAGCAGTAGAAGATGGCTCAAGTGGTTGGGCCCCTGCACCCATGTGGGAAAGCAGGAAGAAGCCCCCAGTTTCTGGCTTTGGACAAGCCCAGCCATGGCTGTTGCAGTTATTTGGTGAGTGAAACAGTAGATGAAAAATCCTTCTGTCTCCAACCCCCTTTTGCCCTTTCCCCAACTCTACCTTTCAAATTAATTAATTAATTAATTTTCAAAGTAGTGTATGAACTACCAAGTTCACCTTTGGTAGTGCAATGAATTAAACTACCACTAGAGGCCGCAGATGGCTGGAGTGCTTGCATCCCTGCCACCGACATGGGAGATCCAAATGAAGACTCCTGGCTCCTAGCGTTGATCTGGCCAAGCTCTGGCAGTTGGGGGATTTGGAGCATGCATCTAAAAACAGAAAATTTCTCTCTCTCCTCCTTTCTATCTCTAGCCTTTCAAGTATAAATCAACCAATCAATTAACCAATAAAATGAACCCACTTTTAAATGCCCTTTATGGGAATTTAAAGAGAATCAAATTTTGCTACCAATAATGCAGACTTCCATTAGTTATGGCATACAATGCTGTAAATTGATCCACACTGTACTTTGACTCTTTATAGTTTAGTTTACGGCCAGCATAGTCCAGGCATATGTTATAAGCATTTAAAAGACAGGCAGATAAACTTCTATGCCTGACTTCAATGCAACTTTAGTTTTGGCAATTATATGTTGATTGCTACTTATCAACACCCTATATAATGTGAACAAATGAATCTGTTAGGAGAGAAAACTTATCATATTGTTTTAACAACTTATTTGTATTTAATGAAATTTGATATATTCTTTTTAACAAGCCACTTGATGTTTTAATTATTTTATTTATGAGTGGCATCCATGTATTCTATATGTATAATATACATTGTGGCTAAGTGTTTCAATGTAGATGTCATTATGGTCTGCATTCAATAGACCCTGCTGTCAAGAAAGCATTACTCTATCTAGTTTTCACTTTTATTTATGATAAGTATGCCCAGTCAGGAAACTAGTTCACTTATCTTTTGACATCATAACAATAAATTGTTAAGTATCTGTAGGATGCTTCCTAATATGTTTGTTTTATTCAGTTTAGCTCCAATTACAGCGAACATTTGACATTACATTGATATTAACCTTAAACTGCTTGATGCTGTGAATGCCTCTAAATAGTTCTTCAGCTTTTTATTTATTTATTTTTATCTATATGCCTTCTATTTACCCATCTATTTGAGATGGAGGGAAAAGGTGTGAAAACAAAGAAAGAGAGAGAATATTCTCTTCCTTTGGTTCACTCTTAGAATGCCCTGAGCAACTGTGGGATGGGCCAGGCTGAGATTCAGTCCAAATCTATCTAATGGCTGGCACAGTCTAACTAGTGTGAGCCATCATGGGCAATCTCCCATGGTGCGCATTACCAGGAAACTGGAATCAGGAGCAGAGCTGCAACTCAAACCCAGGCCCTTAACTGTGGAAACAGGATTTCCACTGACACCTTAACCACCAGGTCAAATACTAGTCCCTCTTCAGCTTTTACAGGAGATATCCAATGTGTACTTTGGAGGCCTGTGAGTGTGTTTGTGTTTTCATGTGTGTTGGCAAGAGATTAAGAAAGAGAAAAATGCGTATTATGATGAAATGTGCAGATGAGTTATTTATCCTATCAAAACTTCTAGAAAGAATTGGACTCCTGTTGCTATAAGAAAATAGTCACGTTAACTGTAAGCTTTAAAGCATCTAGTTAATCCCCTCTCTACTCACTTTCTTGTGATTGGACACCAAATGACCCTGTGCACAGGAAGAACATTTCTAAAAAATGGAGAGCTATCAGCTCAGTTAAATGGGCAGCAAGATGCCAAAAGTGAGGATGGTTAGCAAAGAAAAGGAGGAAGTTGGAGAGTGAAGAAAACTTTACAGAGAAGTGCTGAATGAATGGGAAGGTGCACAGGTCTTGACTGCAGTTCATTTGGTTTCATATTACTTTACTTTTTATTATTATCAAAAGAATAGCCAATAGGATGCATGCTTCTTCCCTGATTCTGTCTTCTTTCTGTGAAGTTTCTAATTAAGTTTTGGTCACTGCATTGTGGCCCTGTAGAGTAACACAGTGATCAGACTTAGCACTGAGAGTTCCCAAAAGCTCGTTAATTTAAGATATTTGCATAGGTGACTTCTTTGCCTAGATTTACATGGTGTTGGTAAATGACTATAGTAATGGTTGATTGTGGTGAATAGCCCTAATTCTGTTCATTTCTTATTTTGATAAACCCTAAGTATAACGTTTGAGAATTATGTCAAAATTTTTAGTGATATTTTCAATCACCATTTATATATAATAAAGGAAGCAAGACTAACTCCAAATATACAAAAACAATACAGGTAAAATTAATCTTAAATAATGCTCTTATCTACTAATTCAGAAAATCATAGGAAAAGATTTTGATAAAAGTCTGTCACTACCTGTGGAAGTGGTCACATGAAACTACACATGATGTAATGCATAGAAGTAAGTACATACACACACACACACAAAATCATACAGAAATGAATGGTGTAAGACAACTGTTATGCAAAATATAAAGCAAATAGCTATAAAGGTAAGCAAAGATATACATATATGCTCATAGGTAAACTATGTAATGGAGACTAGCATAACAGGAGTGATGATAAATTTCAGTATGCGTCTCTATTCCAGTAAAAGGCGGAATCCTGATGAAACAGTTAAATACACCTTAACAATGTGATGCTAGATTTTCTGCTTTTTCCAATGCCTGCAATATCAGGTACAACTAAATAGCAGAATGTTAAACTTGCAACTGTTACTAAAGGACTACACTTCTGTGACAACATGGGAGGAAGAGGAGGGAAGGGAAAATGGACAGAGAGGAACAGAAAGTAGAGGGAGGAATCTCTGTACCTCCACAACTGTATCATGGAAAATAATAATAATACAAAAGACATACAGAAATGAATTTCTATAGAAAGAGTAGAATGTGAGCAAGGGTAGATGATTATAATAATATAAACTTCCTAGTGATAATACTGTGTCATAGTTATGCAAGTTACTGCCATTGAAAGAAATTGAGTGAAAGGTATGTGGAACACTATTATTTCTCATAATTACACGTGGATAGATAATTATTTCAAAATCAAAATTTTAAATAAATCCATATTTTACAAGAGTATCATGTTTTAACACATTATCAAAACCAAAGAAAGAATAGAGATTAGTAGATTTGTAACTAGTACATGAAATTTCGTTTTTATAAGACTAGATAACTAATTTATTTCTTATTGAAAAAAAACTGTTCTTGGTTCTTCATTCTGATGGTTAATACAGAAGTCTAGCTTTATAGATTCTTCTTGGTTCTGGTCAGTGCTTGACATTATGTTCCTTGTCTTCACAGATCTGTGTCTCTAAGTGCCCAGAGAAATTCTTAACCTATTTGGAAATACAAACGTTGTTCAACAGGGACAAAAGCGACTGGGAATACTACCGTCAGTTCTGCAAGCCCTCTGCTAAGCTTATGAAGGTATTTATTTTTAAGCAAAAACTAAGGAATGTTACTTTGTCTCCACCTCCGGTGTGACATGAGCATTTGTTACTAAAGAAGCTCCTAGATCATTTAGGAAGTGGGAGCTGATGGCATCGTTCCATTAAAACACACGTGCAAGGGTGCAGGAATTGAGGTGCTACATGTTAAGTTGGTCCTTAAGGTGCCCACCTACCAATCAGAGTGTTGGTTCAAGTGTCAGTGACTCCACTTCTAGTTCAGCTTTCTGCTAATGTGCCTGGGAGGCAGCTGGTGGTTCCTGCCATCCATATGGGAAAACAGAATAGAGATCCTGATTTCTGGCTTTGGCCTGACCCAGGCTTGCATGTAGCAGGCATTTCAGACAGTAAACAAGCAGATAGAAAATGGTTTTAGAGAGTCTGTTTTATTATTGTTAATTTGATTGCATTGCAGTTAACATATTTTAGATAATTTGTCAATTATTATCAGGGTAACCAGTGGGGATTTCAGTGTCACTGTTCGGTTAAATTTTTAAAGGAAACATTTTTGTATTGAGATAACAATAGTGATCACATGGATTTTGAAATACTTTTTTCTTTCTTCTGTTTCAGACTATCTCAGAAACCTTACTGGATAATGATTGTCCAAAAGCAATTTTTCCAGGCAAACCTTGTAAGTGGTAATTATTTTACTTTGGAACACAGAATCTATTAAGAATTCATTTAATGAAGTATTCTTGTTTCATATTAGATGAAACTGAAATTTTTTTTAAAAGAAAAAAAAAGGTCCTGTGACTGGGCAAGGCCCCAGAGTTCGTTAGAACATGAGGCAGAGGTGAAGCCCATGCTCTGGTTGCAGCCAGAATTCCCAAAGGAACTCTGCAACTTTTTGGATTTTGTTACATAAATACTCAAGAAATAAGATTGAAATTTGATTTTAAAAACATAAATTGGTTACTTGTTGCTCTATGACCAAATATAAACACACGTGGACACACCCAGGCACACCCACTCCTGAATTCAGCTAAAATGTTTTTTCAGAACTTGCCTGGGGAGCGGGCAGAGTGAGCAAAGCTGCTGCCTGAAGAGCCGGCATGCCACGCAGCTGCCGGTTTAAGTCCTGGCTGATCTACTTCCAACCCAGGCTGATCCACTTTTAACCCAGCTCCCTGAGAGGAGCAGTGGATATCACACATATTTGGGGCTGTGCACTGTATTGGAGACCCCAGAGACTTTCGGCTCAACTATCTGGCCTGGACCATTCCTTGTGAGTGGGGCCATGAGCGGAATGAAATAGCAGTCAGAAGAAGTCTCTATTTCTCATTTTCTCACTGTAATTCTGACTTTCAAATGCATAACCAAATATTTTCAAGCTAAGTTGCATGGAGGATGAAGGTAATATGTTAACATTCTCTTTATAATTGAAACCTAAATTATATATCCTACAAATGAATTGATATTTCTTTGTCTTAAAATTGTTTGCTTAAAGTAATACTGTTTAGAAGACAATGAAATAGTTATTTATTTTCCTCTTTTTTTTTTTTACTAATTACATTGTATTATGTGACACAGTTTTATAGGTACTGGGATTCCCCTCCACCCCTCCCCTAACCCTCCTCCCCCCATGGTGGATTCCTCCACCTTGTTGTGTAACCACAGTTCAAGATCAGTTGAGATTCCTTCATTGCAAGCATTTACCAAGTATAGAGTCCAGCATCTTATTGACCAGATAAGTTCAACAGCTTCTTGGGGAGACCTTCCCTGGTCTGAAGGTAGAGCCAACAGAGTAAAACCCCAATCAATTAAAAGCTCCATCAGCAACAATGTATAATGTTATGGAATTAATTGACCTAGTATTGAGTAAACAATATGTTAAATTAAATGCAAGTTCTTAACAACATCTTGTGACTACTTCAGTGACATTTTCACAATTGAGGTGCAAAACAGTTTTAGGAGGAGTGTGCAGAGAAATCTTCAATACCTTGTTGAGGAGTACTTATTCTTAGTGTCCTACCTACTAAGGCATGTATGAGTCCATGCTGACCAATTTTTCCTTGTTGTTCTCTGCCTATCTATTCTAATTTGTGTGTGTGTGTGTGTGTGTGTGTGTGTGTGTGTGTGTGTGTGTGTGTGTATGTGGCGGCTCTGGAGCGACCCTGATGGTCATTGCAGAGGGTGGGGCCCCAGAGTTGGAACTAAGTAAGGACCAGAGAAAGCTCCTCTCCCTAGTCCCAAAGGAAGCTTACTGTTCTTCTGAGAACCGCTCAGGGTTCCTGGCTGTTGTTCCGATGACCTTGGATCCTATGAGGAAGGATTCAGGCTTCTTCCATCCCGTACAGTGGGTCCAAAGGTGAGGGGGATGTCTTCTGAGTTCTCGGCCTCTGAAGGCGTTCCAGTTCCCCGTGGTCTCTTTGGCAGTTGGGATGTAGTCCTTGGTGGGAATCGGGGAGACTCCAGGGTTGGGATACAAGCCTCCTCCTGTCCAGCTGCTCCACTCTGGGGTCACGTGACCCCCCCATTCTGTGCACGTGACCTCCTGTTAATAAATTGTTAGGATTGCTCTTGATTCCCCCTGTATGTCTTTGTAGTTTTACTATTGTCTAATTCTGTTTTGAATCTATTGTCTATAAATTACCTGTCATGTTCCTGATAGGTTACATTACATGGCTTCCTCACACATTCAAAGGAGATGGAAGATTTCTCTGCTCTCCCGCCCCATTTCTGAGTAGCACAAGGATTTGAAAGTATATTAGGTGTTACAGTTTTTCAAAACACATGAGTTGAGACCGTATTAATTACAGGTTCATCTGAGGAAGATTTACTGTCATTCGGAATCTTTAGCATTGTTTCACATCCCCAAAGCACTGAGGGTTCAGCATGGAGCTATCCAAGCAGCAATCAAAGAGCCAAAATCCCAGAGCTCCCTGGCCGAGGGCCAGCAGGCGGAGCCTAGTGCCAAATGGAGCACTGGCCGCCTGGGGGACAGCTCCCCACGTGCATGTGGTAGCTGCCGTGTGATATCCAGGTATCAGATGCCACCGTCCCGGGGCCCCCAGCCGCCATGCAGCAGCTGGAAGTCCCTAGTTTCCTTTCTTAAGAATCTAATACTAATGACAGAGAAAACTTTATATACAGAGATCCATTAAATGTTCATTCAAATACCCCACCAAAAAAGGAGAAAAAAGAGAAACATTCTAATATCCAAAAGCAAGAGAATGCTTAAATACATTGTGATTTAGTCATTAAATGAATTGTTTCAGAATTATTAATAGTGACAAGCATATAAGAAAAATGATGCTATAAATTACAAACTGTTGTGTAGGTTATAACGGAGATCTTGTTGAATTCAAAATAAACAACAAAAATATTGCAACAGAACATATCAAAATGAAAAGGCTGTTTTGAGGATGATGAAGCTGTAGATGTTTTCTCCCTTTTTCTTTGATTTTCTGTTCCTCTCTTTTCTTTTAAAATGGAGGAAAGTCAACAGTCATCATTTGAGTAGAAAGTACCACTGATGTAACGTCTATCAAATACATATCCTAAATGCTCCCATCATTCTTTGTGTCAGAAAAGTCCCTGAAGCAAAAGAGAGGGAAGAGGAGGGGAGGGGAGAGGAGTGGGGAAGGTGCCTGTGTGTATTGCTATTGCCACAAACAGTTCCGTTAAACCTTGTGTTATATCTTCATCAAACCAGTGGTTAAGAATGGCACACAATGTGATATGTGATGTGTGTTTATATTAAAATTTACTATATATGACATTTTCATTTGCTATTTTTTATATTGCTACTGATCTGTCGTCTTTTTATTTTTTTTTCCCAAACTCGTTTTTAGTGAAGCGTTAAGCCATTAACTATAATGTAAATCCAACATGTCATCTCAAAAATGGAAGGAAGGAAGAAAGGAAAGAAGCAAGGAAGGGAGGAAGGAAATAGAAAAAAAAGAAAAGAAAATCATTTTACTACTAAAATTCTATCTATGAACTACATTGACAACTTTTTTTCTTGTATTAATAGCATATTAACATAAAAATTGCTAAGGATAGTAGAGATAAAGGGATGTCTTATTTTAAAGACTTTAGAAAAGTTAACTTATTCAGCAGCAAATATTGGCTGAATTCTTCCACGTGCCAAGCACTATTCTGGATAATGGGCTCAAGCAGGAGGAAAACTAAGAATATCCACCCAGTATGTCAACATTGGGATCAGTGGGAAGACGATACTCGTGGGGCAGGTCAGAGAGCTGACTGGACTGAGCAGGAGTAGACACCACAGCCAGAGATGGATCTGTGAAATCCTCCCAACGGCGAGAAGAACCCGAGAGCCAGAGAGCACACTGAAGAGACCAGCCAGACATTATAAGTACAACAGAAGTTGTGCATCAGCGAACAGGAGATCATTTTAAGTCAGGAAAGTTGGGAAAAGCTATCTAAAATCGTAGTTCCTCCTCCTGTGCATCAACTACTTTAACATTTTCTGCTTTAAATGTCATATAATTCCATGGACATCAGTGGTACTTCTTTTTTTTTTAAAAAGATTTATTGTTATTATTTTGTTATTGGAAAGGCAGATATACAGAGAGGAGAGACAGAGAGGAAGATCTTCCGTCCGATGATTCACTCCCCAAGTGAGCTGCAACGGCCGATGCTATGCCGATCCGAAGCCAGGAGCCTCTTCTGGGTCTCCCACATGGGTGCAGGGTCCCAAAGCTTTGGGCCGTCCTCGACTGCTTTCCCGGGCCACAGGCAGGGAGCTGGAAGGGAAGTGGGGCTGCCAGGATTAGAACCGGCGCCCATATGGGATCCCGGGGCATGCAAGGCGAGGACCTTAACCACTGCACCACTGCGCCGGGCCCATCAGTGGTACTTCTTAAGAAAAATATGGAAATGATCATTTAACTTCCCTTATCACTTCTTTCAAATTTCCTTTATCATTTTCCTTGATTATTTCTTTAAAAATTCCTATTTAAGGGTTTTCAATAATATATTTGTAGCAAATTTCTTTAATAAAAGTAAGTTTTTACTTCTATCTTTATTTTTATATTTTTCATATTTATTTTATATGTTCTATATTATATTTATTTTCTATTTTATGAATATATATTTATTTTATATTCTTATATTATTTATTTTATACCTATATATTATGTTGTATTATTATCTTCATAATATTATTTTTATTTAATAAAAATAAGTGCACAGAAGATTGATCAGTATGTTAACTCTTAGAAATTGTGCTGGCCTACAAAGTATGGATCTCTTCTGATAGCTTCAAAATTTCCATTTCCAATCTGCTTTAAAAATATGGAAATGAAAAAGTTGAGCAGAAGGCAAATTATTAATTATGTACAAGCTAAGCTATAATTGTCATAGTACTTTAAGGTTTGAGGTGGTTCTCATTTTCCAAGGAATTATTCACCCATCTCCAGTAGTCATAATTTTACCTAAGGAATCCACAAGATTTAAACAATTAAAAAAAAGTTTATGATACTATTCTTTAGTCTCAGGGATTTCCTCTTGCCTATAGATATGTACGTAAAATGTATATACATACATATATATATAGAGAGAGAGAGAGGAACTGTATTTTGGAGGCAAGTGTACTGTGAAGTGAAGATACATTGCAGTATGCATCTCTACTTCTGAATAAAAGATGGACTCCCAATGAAACTGTTTACATATCTTGACAATAGAATACTGGGCTTTATAGCTTTGTCTATACCTACAATGTCATGATTCACTTTTCTGGGTCATACAATAGATCAATTTTCAGTTTTCTTAGCACTCTCCGTACTGACTTCCATAGTGGTTGTACTAGCCCACACTCCCACAACAGTGAGGGAAGCAGTCTTGTTCTCCACATACACACCAGTAGGTGTTGTTAGTAGAACTTTGAATATAGATGAATCTCAGTGCAGTCAGGTACAACCTCAATGTGGTTTTTATTTGTATTTCCCTGACTGGTAGGGAGCCTGAGCATTTTGTATATGTCTATTAGTCGTTTGAATTTGTTCTTTTAAAAAATGTTTATTCATTTCCTTCACCTTTTTTTTCACAGGTTGTTTGGTTTGCTGTCATTGAGTTTCTGAAGCTTTTTGTAAATCCTGGATATTAGTCCACTATCTGTTGTGTAGTGTGCAAAGATTTTCTTGTTGGTTTCTTTTTAACTTAACTGATGATTACTTTGCTGTTCAGAAGCTTCTCAGGTTGACGTAGTCTCACTTGTTTATTTTGACTTTAACTGCTTGTGCTTTTGGTAAACTTTCTTTTTCAGAAATATAAATGAATATAGCCTTTTAATTGAAATATTTACCAAGAGCAATTTGGATCATGATTACTCCTAAATAACTTGTGTTATGCATTTCATTGGTGACAACCTAATGAATACATTAAACATTAAATCCTCCAGTTAAGAATGTGGCTTTTTATCGTGATTGTATTTGTCCTTATTTTAGTTTTACAGCCAACAGAAAACCTCTGGGTCATCAGTCAGTGGGTGTTAGCTGCCTCTCATGAATAATTTTCATGTTTAAGAGGATAGGATCACAAGTAACAGCTTAAGAAAGGAAGGGCACAGCAAAAGAGGCAGAAAAGCGATTATCATAATTGGAATTTATTTTTTTGCAGTTCTCCAGAGATGCTTCCCTGACTTCTCTACTAAAAATGGCACTTTAACAATAGGAGCTAGAATACTGTTTGAAGATGGAAGTGGAAAGACAAGAAATGCTATGGAACTCCGACAGGCTGCAAAGTATGTTTGTTTTATCCTATTTGCAATTATTTGCATGCTTTTATTTTACCTAATACTAACACCTCTATTAAGGCAATGGTTAGAGGGAATAATTATGTATTACTATGAAATATAATGTCTCTAGATTGGAGAACTTGATATATGTTCATTAGTGAAAAGAAGCAGAATAAATTAAAAAGAACAATAAAGTGTTTCAGATAGGTTAAATTTTTCATAAACAGGTATAGAAGCATGAGATAAGAAAGTGCTTGGTACATAACAAATTTCTGTATACTAACTGTAGTGCCGTCAATTTGCTGATTCCTTGGATATAGATACAGAGTGCTTCTCATTACTGGGCATACATACTTATACACATATGTACAAACACACACAGAGGATAATCACACAGCTCAGTTGAATTAACAAAGAAAAAACAAAGAAGTTCTAAACATTTTACTTCTGTTCCTTGAACGGATTTTTCAGCACAGATATTGCAGTCTATTGTAGTGTAGCATCTGCATATTTAGAGAATAAACAGCAACATGTGTGCATTTCAGAAATGTAAAGCTGTATTAAAGAAATGACAAAAGAATATTACAAGTAAGCATACAGGAGTGGTAACATTAACAAAAAGGCTTAGAAAATTATGCCAAAAGCAACATAGTGTTGAGGGGAAGCAGGAGACATTACAGCTGAAACACAGGGAAGGGGCTGACAGTGCTGTTTATACACATGTGTTCACCTTCATCAAATTGGACAGTAATGATTTGTGCACTTTTCAATATGTCCTCCTTCATGCATGCCAGCCGCATGCATGCTGTCAGAGTATTAGGAAAGGGAATTCAAGAAGATGTTCTTTCTTGACTCTCTGGATTTTGCAAGTTAAAAGCTGATCATCATTTTGATTCATTTCTTACTATGAAATTTCTGCAGCATGCATTCATTAAGAAAACATTTGTTTACTATCTTAGAGAGCCAGGTTCTCCCTGTGTGTAGCTATAGACAGCTTAAGCAGGTTCACCCACCTTTGGAGGTCTTCTGAAATTATGTTTCCTGAATTGTTGTGGTTGTGGAAAAAGTCAAAACTGATACATGATTTCTAAAAACACTTTTTGAGCAAGTTTGTTAAGTCCCTTTTGCCACAACAAGCATATTTCTGTTTAATGATAGTTAAAAATAATTTTTCTCTTTGAATTCAGTGGTGTCAATAAAATCCTTGAAGCAAGATCAGTTGGACTGAAAGTATTTGAAGACTATGTAACAACTTGGCATTTGATTCTTATGTAAGTGTTCCTTCCCCAGCCCCATTCAGAATTATCTTTGTAGAAAAACTTCTTCAGAGTCGCTGCTTTTGTTTTTTGATATCAAGTTGATTCACAACTCAGTTTCTGATTTTTCTTTCTCAGATTGAGTAAGGATGGGAAACAGTATTTGGAAATATGTCCAGAACTAGCAGAAGGTTATAAAATACAAAATTTCTGTAGTGCCTATGTGCTTCTCATCACATGCTATAGTGGGTATAGCGTTATTTTCTGATTTTTTTTTTTTTTTTTAGTTTTTTCAGTTCGTAAAAGGTAGAGGACCAGAGAAAAGGGGAGAGAGAGAGAGAGACTTCTTTTAGTTCAATCCTCAAATACCCACAATAGCCAGATCTGAGTCAGGTCAAACCTAGCAACCAGCATCTCCCATGTGTGTGGCAAGGACCCAAGTCCTTGGGTCATCTCTCACTTATTTCCTAGGTACATCAGCAGGAAGCAGGATCAGCAGCAGAATTGCCTGGACATTATGATATGGAATGTTGACATCACAAACAGTAGTTTAACCTGATGTGCCACAACACCTGCCTCTCTTTGGTTCTTTTTTTCTCATATAATGATCATCATCATCTTCATCAAAGATCATTGTGGTTTCAAGAAGCTTAAAAATATAGAAAGAGGAAGAGAGCTTTCCAGGCATGTTTACATTGCTGCAAAGTTAAGGAAATGTGGTCACTGTACTGAAGTCAATGGATGGCTTCTGTATTACTTTCTAGTGTTTAAAAGCTTGTAGATTTCCTTAATGAGCAAGCAATAAATTCAACACCTCTTCAGATATTTAAAGGCCATTTACTACTTGACCAAACTCAGCTTCTGCAATTATTTCCATCTTTGCTTCCTGACTGACCTTATATTATAAACATAGTAAATAATGTTCCCACATTAGGCTGTTCGACCCCATGTTTTTGCACATTCTCTTCTTTTTCCTGGTGTATCCTTCATCTCATCTTTAATATTCATGTTAGTATCATTGACACTTTTCCATCTTATCAAGCTGTAATTAATTATTTTGGAGGAGCAGGAAAGTGTGGTATAACTATGTACACACAGACGCATTTTCCTTCTGCCATAACCTACCATTTTCTATTTAATTTGCTTGGCTCTTTCCCTCTAATAAACTGTGAGCTCTTTGTTATACCTGTGTCTCACTTGCCTTTGTTTTCCTAACCTCTGGTGTTGTGCATGTAATATAAAAGATGCAAATAAAATATAAACACACTAGGGACCAAGATCCATAAATTACATATAACTGTATCATTCTTAATAAAGTTAAAATTGTATGTGAGAAGGACACTACTGAGTAGTTTTAGAGCTATAAAACTTCATTAGCTTATTTTTGTAGTTTATTTTAAAAATTCACAATGATTATACATTCAGTGTGTTAGGATATACTTCCCTAGCAGAATATAGTCTATATTTGACAATAGTTTATTTGACAATAGTTGAATTTGTTTCCCTATTCTCAAATCCAATATATAGCTTCTATGTTTCTTCTTCATTTGCCTCTCACACTTTGACCTGAACACAAGTGTACATTAGGGTAGATTCCTGCTTATCAAACTCCGGGTGCATGCACTAAAACTTTCCCCCCAATACCACTCATACCACTACAACATCAACACCTCCCTTGACTTTCATCCCCTATGCTCTTAACTGTTTTATAAGCATAATATAAGAGTATTAACACACTGAGATTTACTCAATTAGAATTTTACGCAAAAATTTATAAGACAGACTAAAACACGTTCTTTCTCCCTCCCGCCCGCCATGATTTCTTCAAATATTTACTTTGGACTATGCCATAGAATAATCCTTCAACTCCACTATGTATTTAATCATGAAAATATTTGTCATGTAAGAGGGAATGGCTTCTGAATTTTAAAAGCATAGGCTTTGCAAGATTTTGACCTAAGAAGACACTTTGATGCCATGCTGCCATCTATCCAGTGACAGTAATTAAGGCTTTCATTTTTTAGATAACACATGAGACAATAAACTCAATAAAAATGTACCAGGCTCTGTCTGTTGGTATGCTTGATAACCTACAGATAACACCAGAGATGCCAGTTCTCAATAGAACATTAGTGAAGTTTCTAACCTTAGGGAGTTTTGTTTGAGGAAATTACATCAGAATATTCTAATGTGAACTTAACCTGAATATTTGTGGAAAAAGAAACTTTCCTAGTAGTTTAGTTAAACTCCAGAAAGAAACTGAGGCAGATAGGAAAATAGTCATGCTATTAAGTATGTGATAAAACCACGTGGTCCAGGAAATACAGAAGCCTAACTGTGGCTTTAAATAATATTCCACAAATCATGGGGGGGGGGTTGAAGAGATATCTGATGATATCAGGCACCACAAACAATCTGAAATAATTCGATCATGGCAATAATGAGTACAAAGTCATGAGTGCAGGAACTGAGAAGCCAGGTTTTTTCCCCTCACTGTTCCACTCCTTTCTGGCCTTTCTTGCCTTATTTGTAAATAACCATGTTGTGCAAAGTTTCTTTTATTCACCAAGAAGATAAAACAGCACAAATCCAACATGGTGGTTTTTATGTTTTACCTCATAGCAGACAGATATGAAGAAAAACTAATAGGACTGGCAACTGTGACATTTAATCTAATATTCAATGTTAGAATAATTGTATTTTTCATTGTCAAATGGTGATGCCATACTCTGGCTTACCTGGATATACAAGAGATGACTCATATATAAAATCCCCAATACTATTTCATGCAAAAGTCCTAATGGAAATAATGGTGTGTACTTTTTATCATTGCTAATGTTCCTGTAGCCAAGTAAAACAAGACAATTTAATCATTGTTTTGCACAAAAAAAATGTGTTGCCTCGATGTTTCTGTTAAGTTTAGCACATCTGACCTTTCGTTTGTTGTGGATTTCTCCTCCAGGGGCCTGATTGTTGCCATGATCCTTAGTTGGTTGTTTCTGATTCTTATGAGGTTTATAGCTGGATTCCTCTTCTGGTTCTTCATGTTTGGTGTGCTTGGAATTTTAGCATATGGTAGGTATCACTCTACTTAAAATCACAAAATGTTATAATTGTGGTTTCTTAAGTACCAGAAATAGATGTAATTAGCTTTAAGAATGTGTTGAATTTAGAAAAAGCTATTTAATTCTGCAAACATTGTTTCTATATTGTCTTATTTATTTTGTTTACAAAGTACTGTGCAAACATTCTACTCTTTTTCCTGCCAGTTTTTGATTTCATGTTTTATGGTTATTAAAGGAAAGATTAAAAAAAAAAGCCCTGTAAGACTAGTGAAAAATATCTCAGAACACCTCTTTTATTTGTCTGTTTTGAGCTATCAAAAGCCAAGTATGCATACTTACAGAAATGTCATATACTTTTTGCTTTTCAACTTAGATAGAATTTTGAATCCGTATATTATCATGCATTTTAATAATGAGTACAACATAATGAGGCATCACCCTCTAGAGGAAAGTATTCTGAATTACATGCAATGGATAGAATTAGAATTAGTTAATTTCAAGGCTGAAACCTACTGCTATCTTCAGAAACAATACGTTCCCTGTTCAATGTTAACACTTAATAAAGCAGCTAAAATGTTTCCTACCACTACAGCAGCTTGCTTTCAAGCTCCTGAAAACTGAATGGGTCAAGATAGAAATGTTTGAAAGACTTCTAAGAGCAGATTTCCTGAAACATTTGGAGTGACTGCATATTTATTTACAGAAACGCTTTATGCATAAGTATGATTTTAAGTCCCCTGATTCTGTAATTAGCTGTGGTTGTACTTCATCTCTTTAACATACAACCTAGTGACTTGGAAAAAATAATGTATTAATGATTATGGCATTCAGTTTTCTTGTCTACCTGTAATATCTGAACCATAGTGCACTCTATCTCAGAGGATAATAAAGATGAGATGAAACTGGGCCCGGCAGCGTGGCCAAGCGGCTAAAGTTCTCGCCTTGAACGTGCCCGGGATCCCATATGGGCACCGGTTCTATCCCGGCGGCCCCACTTCTCATCCAGCTCCCTGCTTGTGGCCTGGGAAAGCAGTTGAGGACAGTCCAATACTTTGGGATCCTGCACCCCTATGGGAGACTTGGAAGAGGTTCCTGGCTCCTGGCTCCGGATTGGCACAGCAGCAGCTGTTGCGCTCACTTTGGGAGTGAATCATCGGACGAAAGATCTTCCTCTCTATCTCTCCTCCTCTCCGTACATCTGACTTTGTAATAAAAAGAAATAAATCTTAAAAAAAAAAGAGGAGATGAAACTAATAAACAGCTCTTAGAAAAGTGCCTGGAACACACTAAGCAGTAAGTGTGCTGGGTTGTTATTATCCTCCTTGTTATCCTCAAGGAGTTTGGAGCAAGTCATTCAGATCTCCCAGGGTACCCCTTGCGCTCCCCTGCTCTGCAGCTGCTCCCCACTCCCACACAGCCAGGTAACCTCTCAGAGGTGGGAAACAAGAATTATGTCCCCTAATCACAGACTCCAAAGAGAGGTTTTAGTTTTAAACAAAAGTTCAAAGGAAAGGACATTGCTGTCTACTTATCACTTTACTGACTTTCCTTAAGCAGGAAAATAACCAAATAATAAGACAATAAAAAAAACCCTGAAACTGGCTATGGTAGAAGTTTTGAAAATGGAAAAAGGGGAGTAAAAGGGTCAATGTATAAAACAGGCAGGGAAAAAAACTGATAGCCTCCTGTTGACCTCTAGGTGTAGTTTTTTTTTTAAAGATTTATTTATTTTTATTACAAAGTCAGATATACAGAGAGGAGGAGAGACAGAGAGGAAGATCTTCCGTCCGATGATTCACTCCCCAAGTGAGCGCAACGGTTGGTACTGCGACGGCTGGTACTGCGCTGATTCGAAACCAGGAACCAGGAACCTATTCCAGGTATCCCACACGGGTGCAGGGTCCCAAAGCTTTGGGCCGTCCTCGACTGCTTTCCCAGGCCACAAGCAGGGAACTGGATGGGAAGTAGAGCTGCTGAGATTAGAACCGGTGCCCATATGGGATCCCAGCGTGTGCAAGGCAAGGACCTTAGCCGCTTGGCTACGCCACCGGGCCCCAACCTCTAGGTGTAGTTTTAACCCAGCAATCAACACTGTGGCATGTGAGGGTGATGTTATTTATTGGGTGAAGTGGGGTAGTGCAGTGTTTGTAAATAAAGCTGCATATGACTGCCTTCTAGCACGTTTTTTGACAACAGCCCTTTACATATGCAGGAAAAGCCAATCTTGTCCTACTGACAGCAACTCACTAGGGCAAAGAATGGTTATTTTGTGTCTTAGTAAACAAATTAAAACCATATTATTTGTGTGCAAAAGCCCACGTACAGTTAGGTAAGAATTTTAATTTACCAAGACAAATTACGAGGTACAAAGTACATGTGTGTAACACACTGGATATGAGCATGGGTTTAGAGTTCAAAAACACAATGCTAAACGCACTACATATTAACAATGTGATCATCCACACAAAAGAACATGGTTTCTCTAACCCATGTTTTCCTTAAGTATAAAAATTGGAACTGTGAGTTTTAAACAAAATAGCCTGTATAGTGTACTAAAATTTTGTAAAGGTAAATATTCAGTAGCGTTTATTTTTATCACTGTTTCTGTTATTAGACCGTACTATTATTGATGAAAAAGGACGTAAGTTCACCAATCATAACTTGGGGGAAAAAAAACCTTATGGATAAGAGAGAAAGAAATAGAAAAACATGAAAAATACTGTCTACATTTTCATATCCATCATTATGAGGGATTTAAATACTTGGAGGGGTCCTCTAAAAAAAATAATGGCATAAAGGTCAATTTTGAACTGTTTTATATATTATTTCTGATGAGCCCATTGGAAGTAAAAGAAATTGTCTCTTCCCCCAAAAATGAAAATTAAGCCCACAGACTAAAATCAAAGTGAGGAAATGAACAGGAAGCACATGTGGAACTCTGGTAGTACATACCACTGCTAAAATCAGGTAACTCAGGAGTAAGCAATAGAGCAGGAAGTCATCGAACAGACTGGGGTCCTGCTGATGTCTAAAAAGACCCCTTCTTGGTACTACCCATTGCTGCCAGCAGAAATAAATGTAAATTTTAACTAGATGAAGCAGTCCTCAATTTATATCATCACATTTCCACAGATTAAAATCAATGAAGTGAGATAGCTGAACGTACAAGAACACTGCTCTTTGTGAAAATCAGTGGAAGCTTTAAACATCACGATGAGGTGTTCACTAGAGTCAGATATGAATATGAGTAGAAATAGAACATGAAATATTAAAGTGTTTAAAGAAAGATTAAAAAAAATCACGAAAATGAAAATGTCCAGGCATGCATGAAAATGAATTAAATAGAATCTTCCAAAGCAAATAGTGACTAAAAATTAAGATGATAAATAGAAAAATTGTGATTTAATGAACCGAAAGATGAAACTGAAGTAATTTTCTGAGTTAAGAGAGAATGTGACAGGAGAAAAAATGTGATTTTGTGGTTTAGAGTGAAAAAGATTGAGACAATATGTGTTAGTCATATTTGAAAGTTACTGATTAGCAATGCATCTTGGTGTTTTTTTTAAAAAAGCTTAATACCAAGAATGAAGAAAAAGAAAATCACATTTTGGCATGCATTATCTATTGATATCTACAACTCAACTATTGCACATATGAACTATTCTAAACTTTTAACACATAACAGTAAAGGAAAACAGACAAAGATTCTTGCTCTCCTGATGCTTACAGCCTAAGTGAGTCAAATATTAAACAGAGGTGACTGCCATAGGGGAAAAATAAAGTCAATCAGGTCAGAGGAGAATGAAAATACCACAGTAGAGAGTTCCATGAGGATGTCTTTTTGAGAAAACTGGGAAAACATTTAAAGAAAACAATGGAGTCAGACAGCATGACAAAGGGAAGGTTCCATTAAAGCAAAGGTTTTAAGCATGCTGATGCAAATCAATGCACTGAGTATTGGAGAGAGTAACATGAGATGACATCATCAAGCTTATGGAAAGCCACAACCTACAGATTGTCGTTAGACCTTGCCTTCTATTCTGAGTGAAATGGAGAGATGTTGGTTTTGAGCATAGCACAAGTGTGATGATGATTATTGTTCTAGTTCTATATTGAGAATAGACTCAAGTGAAGCAGGAGTACAAGCAATGGAACCAGTGAAGAGTCTGTTGCAATAATCCATATCCCAGACAAGGAAGCTCAAATCAAAGTAGCAGCAGTGAAGATAGTGATTTGTGTTTGTAAGGCACAAGAGGCTGATTAATGAAGTAGCTGAAGTCCTTGTATTGCAAGCAGGTTGTTTTGTTTTGTTTTTGTCATAGGTCCATCATTCTGCTATTTAAGTGCATCCTGACATTGTAGATATGGATAATGGCAGAGTCCAGCATTCAATTGTCAAAATATATTTAACAGTTTCATTGGGATTCCATCTTTGATCTGGAAGTAGGGATGCATTGTACATTGAATCTTCACATCTGGATATGATAGCATCTGTTACACAGTTAATATAAATTCCCTTAAATGAAAAGCTCTAAAATAAAGACAACTTCAGGAAGAAAAAAAATATAAAAATTAACAACATTAAGTTAAATAATACTGAATGGCCAATGTATCGCTAAAGAAATGAAAAAAAAAAACCTTCTTGAAACAAGCCATGCTACTGTGATCTATGAGTCAGTGAGAAAATTAATAAGAAAGAAAAAAAAACTTTTTCTGAAGGAATGAAAATAAAAGCAAAAATATTAAAACCCATGAGATAAAGCAAAAACAGTATTGAAAGGGTTACTGATCTTGTATTTTGCATGAAGGCTGCCTTCTATCAGAGAGAACATATGGTATTTGTCTTTTGGGGATTGATTTATTTCGCTGAACGTAATGATCTCTAGTTGGGACCATTTGGTTGCAAATGGTGGGATTACATTGTTTCTAGTGGCTGAGCAGTATTCCATTGAGTAGACTTACCACAGTTTCTTTATCTAGTCCTCGTGTTGATCAACTGTGTTATTTCCATGCCTTTGTTGTTGTAGGTTTGTAGGTTGATCTGTCCGTTGTTGAAAGTAGGGTGTGTTTAAGTCCATTATTATTATTATTATTATGTCATTTCTACACTCAGGTACATTAACATTTGTTTTCTTTTCTGGGAACCCTAAAATATGCTTTGGCATTGAGTAATTATACTTTTAGCATCATTGCATCTTCTTGTTAAACAATTCCTGACTTATTTCATAATGACCTTTTGCCTTCAAGTCCACTTTTTGCCTGAGATTATAGCCACTTCTGTATGTTTTTGATTTGCATCTGTATGCATCATTCTCCACCTTTTCACTTTCTGTGTGAATCTTTATTGAAGAAGTATCCTTTTTGTAAGCAATATATAGATAGGGATATTTTCAACCAATTTGGTTATTCTGTGTCTTTTAGTTTGGAAATGTAGGTAATTTATTAAAGGTTATTATTGATGATTAATAACTTGGTTGTGATTTTTTACATGCATGATCCTGTTGTTCATTTTCAGTTTCCTTTATTCTTTTACCAGGAAGTTCTCTGCCTTTACATTCATTCATGATACTAGCTATATTTCATATCTTTGTGAAATATCTCCCTAAGCATCATTTGTAAGGCTGACTTGCTGGTAAAAATTGTTTTATATTTTGTCTTGTCTGAGAAGTCTTTATTTCACTCCTATACATGGATGAGAACTTTATTATCACTGAACTAGGTTTTCTTTGTTTCTTTTTCTAAGACCTGCATATTCCATCCCCCCCCCTTTTTTTTTTTCACAGATTACAAGGTTTCTGTCAAGAAATTGATTGCTAATTTGAAAGGAGTTTACTTAAAAGTGATCTGCACTTTTTTCTTAAAAATTTTAGAATTTTCTGGAAATTTTTTACTTTTGTAAGGTTGATTACAAGGTATTACAGTGAGAATTTTTTTCTGATCGTATCTACTAGGGGTCCCTGCACTTCCAGTATATCTGAATGTCCATATCTTTCTCCCCAATTGGAAAATCTTTTGCTATTATTTCAATTAATGTATTTTTCTAGGGCATTCTTTTTTTATACCTTCAGGGATTCTTAAGATTTTTTGTTGTTGTCATTCACTTGATCACATCCCATAGATTTTGAAATTCCTTTTTTCTTCTTTTTTGTTTTTGGTTTTGTTTTCTCTGACTGTGGTATTTGAGAAGACTTGCTTTCTAGATTAGATATCCTTTCTTCTGCATCTCAAAACTCTGACAATGCTGTCCATAGCAATGTTTATTTAACTTACTTGTTTCTTTTCCTCTAACACTTATTTGATTTCTTTTCAATATCTCTGTCTCTCCTGAGTTTTTTTATCCATGTCATATACTGACTACGTAATTTCAAATTGAAAATATCCGTTTGGACTAAAAGAGGCAAATGAAATATTTACCATGTAAATACAAATCTTGCCTTTATACAAATTACTATGCTGATCAATTTCATGCATATCTAAGCAATAATAATGTTGTCTCTACTGGTTTTAAAAAGCGCTACTTTATATTATTTTTGCTTTTCATTCTTTTCAAGGAATATGGTACTGTTATAAGGAATACATCACTCTTCACGAACAACCAAGTTCTTCATTAACTGTATATGAAATCGGGATTCAGACTAATATGAATATGTATTTTAATTTGAAACAAGCATGGTTTGTTTTAAGTAAGTGCATTAATTTTTTTTAGAAATTGTAATGATGTGAGAGCGTATTTTTGTGTAAGGAAAACCTGGATTAGTTGAACTTACTGATTATATTTATCACTAATTTAGCAAAAGATAAGTACTAACTACAGTAAATGAAGAAAATCATTAAGGAGAATTCATTGAATTCATGAAAATCCTGCTATACAAGTATCTCAAGTCATTTTCCTTCAATTTCACTGGATTGATTTTTTACATTTATAGATATTAATGTGATATCAAAGAAAGATGTTTAAAAAGAAATTGCTGCTTTGTTTTCGAACTTGTTGAATATGAACAAGAGGATAGTTAGAAGTTTTCTTCATAACAAGTCACAAACTAGAGTAGGAATTGTAAGCAATAAATAACTGAACATAAATTTAGATGTGAGAAATCGCTCAGTTATTGAATCAGTTCAAGATATTGTTGAAAAAACTGTTAAGACATTTCTGAGATGGCTTTAATCTTATTCCTAAGATCATTTAATTATAATATTCCTTGTATTTCAGAAAAATTTGTCCTTTTTATTCAAAATTTATAAAAGACTCTCTAATTACACGAGCTTTTTAAAAGTCATCTTTATATTGATGAAGTTAGTCGGGTGTGACATACTTGAGGTAATATCATTGTCTGTGTTCATGCTCCCAGGCTCTGAGTTCCTTCTTCATAAACCCTGAGACTTACTTGGTCATTTCCTAAATAATCTTGAGACTTTTAAAGATAGACTCACATTATGTCATCAGATTATCATTTCATTTGTTTCCAGCATGTAGAACACTCTGTAACCAGAGTACATTCCATCTTGAACACCACTTTCTTAGGACCAAGCTACTTAGGGTTAGGATGTCCATGAGAAGTTTATTAGCAAAGAATCTTGCATAGCCTTAGCAGATGTTTTCACAGAAGTCCCCGCCAGATTCAGTTTTTATGAAAAGCATTAAGAACAATATGCCAAGCTCTTACTCTGTCTTCCTATTTCTAGATCTCTTTCTCACATTATTTTTTTCAGAAGAATTTTTATTTCTGTTTTTTTTTCTTTTTAACTATAAAAATCAGGCATTCTGAGAACTGCATCGTGGTCCCTTTTTCTGAATTTGGATAATTCCACATCTCCTCAGCAATCTACATGCAAGTAGGACACAAGTGCCATAATGAAACACCTCTAGTTTTGCTCTTGGATGGATCTTAGTTACAAGTTCTGCTAACAATATATAATATATATTTGTCTCTTAAGAATCATTCACGCAAAAAAGTTTGATGTGATCAGAATCTGCCATTGCAAAAGTTAAGAGATGTATTCTGGGAAAATACAGGAATTTTTTTTTGAATTTTCAAGTCTTGCAATTCTAATTTCTCTTTGAATGAGCCTCTGTTTTGGAAATCATTTATCAGGCACTAATTGATATCTTGTTCTGTATTTTGACAAAATTTAAGGAGCCTGAGAAGAGGGCATGCAAGTGAAACTCTGCTCATTGGAAAAAAAACTGAAAATAAGCATAGTGAAAAACAAGTTAAATCTTTCTAATCATTTCAAAAATGTGATTATATAAAGGTATAAATTTAATATACAGTGTCCTTTAAAACTGCAATTTTTAGCATGTAAAGTGATCCATATATTCTTCACTTTTTTTATACAAAGCAAATAATCATTTTAGCATGGATATATTTCCATAATTTTGAAATAAAATCAGTGTTTCAATAGAATAAAATGTGCATATAATAGCATATAGAGCTTAAGCTATAGAGTGCTTGGCACCAGGGCATAGCCAGCAAAGCCTCCGCCTACCTTGCCAACGTCCCATATAGGTACAGCTCCATTTCCATTGCTCCACTTGCAATCCAGGTCCCTGATGATGCACCTGGGAGACAGAGGAAGATAAAGCAAGGGGATGCTCTGGCCTCCTGGCTTAAGCCTGGCTCAGCCCTAGACATTGCAACCTTTGGGGGATTGAATCAACAGATGGAAGAGCTCTCCCTCTGTCTCTCTTCTCTTTCTCTTTGCAACTCTGCTTTCAAATAAATAAATATACCTTAAAAAAAAAGAAGACATAGAATGAGATAGTATATCACTAAGATGCTTCCACACTTGTTTTCTACTTCATTGACGATATTAACTGATATGTGAGATAGTATCTGAATGTTAATGATATAACTTTAGAAGAATAGAGAGTTCTCCATCCCTGAAAGTAATCACAAACTAGCAGAATTACTATGCAATGCGAAATTCTGGAAGAAATTCTCATGAATGGAAATTTAAGTTTCTTTTATACATTCAGTTTAAGATCTGCATATTTTCACTTCTTAACATTTATGAAATTAAGATACATCTTAAAATAATTGAGTAGACATCTAATGAATAGTTCACATACTTCTAAAACCTTATAACATGTTAAGAGTATATTTTAGGATTACAAAATAGTAACAATTAAGACTTCAGTTTCAAACAAATTCAAGCTAGCTAAAGATAAAAGAACATTACAATGGGCTTGATGTGAAGCAGGAAATGTTTATTTTAATACAAATGTATTTTATCAGATTCAAAAACTGCAGAGGGGCAACTGGGCTTTCAAATTGGCCTAAATCCAGAAAGCAAAAAGTCATAAAGAACCCAAGATTTCTTCTCTCTTTCTTTGCAAAATTTTTTTCCTTTCTTTACAGACTTACTTGATATATAGGTGGTTTGACATTGTTCATTAAGTTTGTCTAACCCTCAATTCAAGAGGTCTGTAGCCATCAATTTCAGACTAAAGTGGATTCCCTTAGTTTTAATTTGAAGACTGCTACTGGCCAAGTTGGGTTGGGTTTACACTGTGGTTCCATCAGTGGTGGCCATAGTAAATGGAGTCACAGAAAATAAATACAGCAATCAAGAATGTTCCCTGTCAGTCAACCAGGACAATTAAGAGGCACTGTGAGTAAGGTGTATGACTCAGTTTCTTTTGTAATGCTCTCTTCTTCATTGAGAATACACGTACAGTCATCTACAACAGAGCTAATGAAAACAGCACTTTCCTTCCTCCCATGCCTTTACCCAATTTTTGCAAAATAATGTCATGTATTTTTGTGGATAAAATAAAATCTGTGTGATTGACCTGATCAAGCACTAGCTAAAGAGTTTAATCTCTATTCCTTAGCATTTCTTGAAGGTTTGCAAAAGGGATTTCTATGATCTATGCTTTGGTGGGATAGTAACATTTAAGTGATGAATTTAAATTTTAGAGTTACAGAGATGATCATAAGCATAGTGCTAACTCTTGTAGAGAAAATTTTGTTTTTTGAATTGATTTGTGTCACAGACTGTTTTTCCTTTTCCAAGCGATATTTCTGTCGATCACTGAGGGGAGTGTCATATTCCTGCTGATCTTCCTCAGGAAACAAATCCGTGTCGCCCTTTTCTTGATGAAGGAAGGGAGCAGGTAAAGCCCTTACTGAAAAAATTCATGATGGACGCCTATCAGTTAAATCAACCACTCCCCATTACATAGATGTCCCCAAGTTATTTTTTCCTTAAGAAAGTTTGTAAAAGAAACCAACTGCCCATTCAAGAAGACATGTTCAAATTTAAACTCTGCTACTTAACTAGAAATGTCACTCCTAACCAGTCTTCTAATATTCTAAAATCTTAATCTTTATAGAGTAAAATAAGAATAGGACCTGAAGCCAGTGTATTAGAATTTGTGAACATTAAATATATGTTAGGAGAATAACATGTGAAAATAAGTGCATAAGTACTAGGTAAAAGTTGCCTATATTAGATGTTATACAATTTTCATACTGGTTTATATGTTAATACTAATGGTTGATATTATTTTCAGGTCCTAAAATAACCATAATTTTGTAATATCAGCTATGTACTATCATGGTGTCTGAATGAATGACAAGCTTTTCTAATAGGTAGGATGACTGATTCTAGCACCATTGCATTATACCTTTTCTGTCTATGACTCATAACTCAAGAATGTTTTATACACAGAACAATTTTTATTAAAACATTACATAATAAGCATTCTTTCATAAAATTCAGGCTAAGAGGTAATAATGCCTGTAGTTTACAAACTGTTGCAAAAGGTCACTTGAGGATAATATACGCTCTTAACTTCTGAATAATGCATGGAAGAAACAAGAAAAAAATTACCATAAAGCAAAGAGACCATTCTCTGTGCTTAGAATGATGAAAACTAACTTGTTGAGGCCAAGAATCAAATTATTTTAATCATCTTTAAGGACTGTTTTAGCAAAATTGCTGTATTATTATTGTAATAATAGGGCCACCTGAAGCCAGTGGTTTAAATAGTTAACAAGCAGTTTGTTAAACTCCTTTTTTCCCACAATAACTGACGACCTATCATTAGCTACTGAAAACTGCTGATTTACTGGGTTTACTTCTTAAACAGTATATTATTGTGCAGCTCACTGTGACTTGCTCCACTTGTTCTGTCCTTAAATGTGTGTGTCTGTGTGTGTGTGTGTCTGTGTTTATGTGTATGTTATAGGGCCAATACAAATGTGACAGGTCAATGATTAGCTTGGCGGAAAATAAAGTTTGGAATAAATGGATGTGAGAACATGGAGTCAACCTAAAGACATTGTGTAACTCACTAAGTCAGTGTACAGAGAATTGAGAGAACAGCATAGCTCAAACTATTAAGTAACAAATCCAAATATATATCTATGTATATATATATATATGTATATGAGACACACATGCATTTTTAGTGACCCTATAAAGCAGCTTTGTGTTTAATCCAGGGCCGTTTACTGAAATAGTCATTTGAAGGAAGTAGTTAGGGAATGAATATTTAGCCTTGCTGTTTAGGCACAAGTTAGAATGCCTACATCCCACATTCAGCTATCTTGGTTGAATCGCTGACTCTAGTTTCTGGCTGCAGATTCCTGCTAATGCCATCTCCAGGGAGCATAGTACCGGGTTCCTGCTGAAAGGCTTCAGGTGTGATACCACCAGTTCCAGTCAATAGGTGCATTTGGGGACTGAACTGGAAGATAGGAGTTTCTCATTCTCTCTTTTTTTCCTTTGTCTCTCTCTCAGTGGGAATTACCTCTCAAATAAATGTTTTTTAATTAGTGAGATATAGAGAAACAAGATGGCAGAAGAGGGCAAATACGTGTTTAAGCAGAAGGAGAATCATTGGCTAAGGTGAAGCAGAGAGGTAGTGATTCCAGGAAACAGGAGAGAACAGATCAATGGCAGAAGGACACCTGGAGACCTAGGGTTGGGGAAGCAGTGGAGACAGCAGAATGGTATTAAACTGGCAGTAGGTGGTCAGATCTCCACTAGAAGCCAGGTGGGAAGGGGAGTTCACCAGGAGCTCAGAAGGTGAGCCCAGGCATGAACTTCCCATCCTGATAATTTGCCTGATGTAGCCATGAGCAGAGGCAGAGTGACAGAGCCCAAACAGGCAGGTGCAGGAACAGGGTGGATTTCACAGCTCAGACACCTCACCAGTTCCATTTTGTGTACTGAGGAAAAGGTTATGGGGTGGAGGGAAGGGTGACTGGAGGAAAAATAATAATCTCCACATATGCTAAGCTGGGAGAGTATCCACATCTATCTCAATGCATTGCATTGGTCTCACAGGAAAAATCGTATCAACTTGGCATCCTATAGGTTCCACCCAAAATTCTATGTGTTCCAAGTAGCTTTCAGACCTAATGGCTAGCAGGTTCCAGCAAGACCAGTAATAACCCAGTGATTTAAGAAGATGGTGTCTCCCTAATCCTGGACACTGCTCAAAGTGGGAGTTAGAAAAGACTTTGCAGGCATTGGTGTGGCCAACAGCACAGGATCACAGGGGGTGGAAACTGGTGACCCAGGAGCTGGGGCTACAGAGACTATGATGGAAACTTAACACAAGAATCTAAGACTGAAACCCACTGGAGGGAGTTGCACAAGTGATTACAAAGAACCATGTATTGAACAAAATCAATAAAATTGACCTGTGGACCCATGGGTAACAAGGCATAGAAACCACCCCTAAGAAGAAGAATCTACTAATCAGAATACCAATGACCAAGAGCAAAAGAAGAGACAGAAGCACAGTGAATATTACTGATACCTCCCCTGCAAAGAAGCAAAGCCTTTGTCAACCTCAGAGTTAACTGATGAAAACATTGAGGAAATGGGGGATAAAAAATTTTAAGAACTTGTTATAAAGTTTCTTTTTTTAAATTTCATTTTATTTATTTATTTATTTTTATATTGCATTATGTGACACAGTTTTTTAGGCACTGGGATTCCCCTTACCCCTCCCCCTATAAAGTTTCTTAACGAGAAGCACATACAGGAGTTCAAGGGATTTAAGGGCTACATCACACAGGAAATAGCAACAATGAAGTTGAATTACAAGAAATAAAGAACATAATAGGGCACATTTAAAATTCGGTAGAAAGCCTCAATAATAGAATGAGTGAGGCAGAAGAAAATATCATAATTGGAAGACATTTCTTTCAGCAGTGAGGGAAAAAGCAAAAAAAAAAAAAAAAAAAGCTGGAAGAGAAATTGAGTTAAGCTAAGAAAAGTATTTAGAATTAATGTACTCTATTTAAAGATCAGATATAAGAGTTATGGGAGTTCCAGAAGGCACAGAATGAGAAGCTGGGTTTAAAAATGTATTCAATGAAATAATAAATGAAAACTTCCCTAATTTGGAAAAAAAAAATGGGGAATCAAAATAAACTCCTAGTAAGATTAACCAAAAGAGATCTTTGCTATGACACTTGATAATCAAGCTCTCTTCAGTTGATTACAAAAGATTATGAGATATGCATGTGAAAAAAGATCAAGTAACATCTAGAGGAACCCCAATCAGACTCACTGCTGACATCTCAGAGGAAACTCTACAGGCCCAAAAAGAATGGGCAACATATTCCAGATTCTGAAAGGAAAAAATTGTCAGCCTAGAATAACTTACCCAGCAAATCTTTCCTTTGCCTTTGAAAATGAATAAAATTCTTCCACAGTAAAGAAAAGCTCAAAGAATTCACATCTGCCAGACATACCCTGTAGATACTTAAAGATGTTCTCTTGACAGAGAAAAGGAGTAGTACTTGTCAAACCATAAGCAAATGTGGAGAACCTCCCAATAAAACAACAAAAGAAGACTAAGTCAAACAATAAATAATTGATTGCCAACATGACAGGACCAATGACATGACCTGTCAGTGTTAACCCTGAATGTGAATGGATTAAACTCATTAATCAAGCATCATAGATTAGCAGAAAGGATCCAAAAAAAAAAAAAAATCTGCCTATTGCCTACAGGAGACACATCTAACCAACAAAGATATGCAGAAACTGAAAATGAAAGGATGGAAAAAGATATTCCAGGCTAATGCAAAGGAAAAATTAGCCGGTATAACCACTCAGATAACTTAGACTTTGACGTGAAAAATATTAAGAGGTGAAGGACATTACATACTGACAAAAGATCCATTCAGCAAGAAGACTGTAAAGATTGAGAGTAGAATGCTGGACTCTGATATTGTTTATGCTTACAATGTCAGAAAACACTTCAATAGTGAAATGATGAACTTATGACTGTTCATAAATGACTACCCATCGTAATACAAGAAGGGAAATCAGTAGAGAGGGGAGTTAGGAAGGGGGAAGGAGAAATTCCATGAGCTTATGGAACTGTATCATAAAATAATAAATTAATGCATTAAAAATTAATCATGGACACCACATGAACTATCAAAGAAATATTATCCCGAGAAATAATAAAGAAGGCTTTCCTATGAAAAATGTGGTTGAATAATAATTTCTTCCTCAAAAGTTAATGGATATGAGTTATAATCAGGAAGATAAGAAAAAACTTTGTAATGCTTTGATAGTTAGGAAATAAGTGTCATATGAAATTATTATTATTTGTTTTTCTTTTTCATTATCAAAGGATAATGAATGCATTTTGAAGGTAGCATAGAAAGGATTTTTTAACTGGGGAGAGATGCCCACAATTAATCATCAAGGTTTTTAAAAATTTTTAAAGTCTTATAATCTGGGGTGAACATTGTGGTACAGCTTGTTAAGCTGCCATTAGGGGCTGCCTGTATACCATTTTGAGGTGGTTGTTTCAAATCCCAGCTACTCCACACTTCTATACAGCTTTCTAATAATGCACCTAGGAGGCAACAGGTGATGGTTCTAACAAGTGCATTCCTGATGCCTCTGTGCGAGACCCAGATTAAGTTCCTGGCTTCTCAATTCAACCTAGCCTAATTCCAACAGTTGAGGACATTTTTTTTTTATTATATTTTGACAATCTTTACATAATTAATTAGGGTAAAAAGTTTCAAGGGCTACAGGAAAGTGGGTAAGACTATTATTTTCCATATTGTTTCCTTCATGTTTAAAGGGGGGATTTTAAGGGAGAAGGCCCACCCAATTTCCCACTCTCCCCAGGTCCCAGATATAGGGTATGCTCTGAGGTTTTTGCTCAAGTGGTTCTGATATTTCAACAGTTATAAATCACTGCCAATCTTGCCACTTCAAGCACTATGATGTCTTTAAAGAATCCACTGATTGACATAGTCCATCATAGAGTCTCTGTTTGCCCCGTATTTTGCTGCCAAGATATAGCTGAGATGGTTGGTTGACCTGTTCTGTCTTCTCTCTTTTCTTGGTTAGGGTTCTGAGTCCAGTATTTTGATTGGGGAGATCTCCAAAGAAGCTTTGTCTGAGGTGTTCTCAAACCAGATTCTTGTATGTGCTAGCAAGTACCACACTTCTATACAGCTGTCTAACAATGCACCTAGGAGGCAATAGACGATGGCTCTAACACGTGCATTCCTGATGCCTCTGTGAGAGACCCAGATTGAGTTCCTGGCTTCTCACTTCAACCTAGCCTAATTCCAACAGTTGAGGACATTTTGGAGAGTGAATCAATGAATATAAGAGTTTCTCTCTGTCTCTCTTTTTCTTTTTCTCCCACTTTTTCTCTCCCTCTTTCTCTCATGACCTTTCAAATTGATAAATATTTTAAAGAATTATTTAAAAAGAATCTAAACAGAAGAAGAAATTGTGTGATTAAAATGTATTAAATACTTCTGGATCAGACAGGAATAATGAAAAAGAACAGAATTTGGGGGACTTTAGACAGGAATCAAACATGGGCATTAGAGTAATTTTCTCAATTTATATTTAAAGATAAATAAACCATAATTTGAAACATCATAAGAACAGGGTGATCAGCCAACAAGGCCAATGGTATGACCATTGCTTTTAAAATTAATTCAGTGTAAACTTCATTTCTAGTTCTAACAGACAGAACTCTGATTCAAATAACATGTTGAATTTCAACTATTTGTTTTATTTCAGAGCCATTGGATGCATCCCTGGTACATTACTTTATCCAATTCTAACCTTCATTTTGCTCTCAATCTGTATTTCCTACTGGGCTGTGACAGCGATGTATCCTTTAACAACTGACTTCTTTAAACTTCAGGCTGCCATTCCTATTCTGGGATTATGTGTTTGTGTCCAGTGTTTTCTATCCCTGAGAAGAGAAAGGGCATTCTAAAGAAATCTGCATTTTGATCCCTAAACCCTAAAATATTTCAATCTACTGATTGGATTTTCCCTCTAGTAGCTCATGCAGATTTGTTTTTCTCACATATTTCTCTTCAGTAAGAACTTAACAAAGTGCCTCTATATTTTATTATTTTAAAGGCATCCTTAATGGAACTGGCATACATCATAATCTAGATCTGACAATTGAAGAAATTATCAAAATATTCTGTTTTTAAAATTTATCTCATCAGGAATTTTGCAGTAATCTGCATTATTTCCTTACCCAGTTATTTTCAGTTCTAGCAGAAAATAGTTTATCCTTGATCAAGTTCATGCAGTTTCTTGGCTACATCAGGAATACCTATATACAAAGTCGTAATCCCACAGGGGCAGTGTGTACATGAAAATAAAACCTGTGACCCAGAGGTAAGTGCAAGAATCTGTCTCACTTCTTTACTTCAATACAAAATTTTACATTACTAACGGGGCTCACAATATACAGAAGGGAGGAGTGGCTCAAATGTTAGCAGGAGAGCTTTGAGAATCAAAGGGGAATGTGCAGATCAAGCCTTACAATTATTTGCTGAGCTTTCTTGTTATGTCATGTACTCAAGAAGCACGTATTGGCAACAATAGAACTAATAAATAGGAAATTGTGTTAGGTGCAGAGTGATGAGCATATGAGGAAAAACATTGTACATTCCAGACTTCAGAAATGATTTATATAAAAGGATGTAGCAGAAAACAGAGAAATAGCAGAAACCTGGGGAGAAGAAAGAGGCCGGACATTTAGATGCTACAAAAAGTATACGTGAAAGAGGTGAGAGAAGATATTATCTTGAAGTAACATTTAACATTATATTCTCATGGGTTTTTGTTTTGTTTTGTTTCCTCTGAGTGCAGGTTTTCAACACAACCGATATTCCAAAGGTTTGCCCTGGGGCTCTCTGTAACTTTGCTTCCTATGGTGGAAAAAGTCTGTACCATCAATACATCTCTGCATTCCATGTATATAATCTATTTGTCTTCCTCTGGCTTGCAAATTTTGTCATTGCACTGGGTCAGTGTGCCCTTTCTGGTGCATTCGCAACTTATTACTGGACCGGGAATAAATGTGATGACATCCCACCACATCCACTTTTTACTTCATTTGGACGAGCTCTACGGTAAGCTCCATACTGAACCCATGCAAAACACATCTGTTTCATTTAGTGTGCTTAGAATTCAGTCCTATCCATGGTGCATTATGTATCCAAACCAAAGATGGACTCCTGGGGAACTATTGAATATAACCTGACAGTAGGATGCTGGACTCTCTGATATTGTCCATGCCTGCAAATGTTGAGAAACACTTCAATAGTGGAATGATGGGTTTATGACTGTTCATGAAAGACTACCCATTGTAATATTAGAAGGCAAATAAGTAGGAGGTGAAGGGGACTTGGGGAGTGGGAGGGGAAATCCCAGAGCCTAAGGAACTGTATCATAAAATAACAATAAGCAAATTTTAAAAAAGATTTCAGTCTTAGTTAACTTTGGTGGAAAGGAACAAGTAAGACCGATAGTATAATTAAAATTCATAGAAATCCATAGTCATATCTATTTTTTTATAACTATAGTTTCATAATCTCAACCCAGACCAGTATCTTTCTAATGCCATGTTTACTGGAAGAAGTAGGGAACAATGCTATATGAAAAATTAAATATTGATTTAGCTGTGTATCTGCATTAATACATCAAACATCTCCTTTCATGGAGACAGATTGTTGATAAAGTTTCTGTTGATAAAGAGCAACGTAGTTAAAAACTCTCCATTGGAAACTTTTATCAGTCTGAATAGGCACAAAAATCTTGGTCCTATTCATCCTTGTGTAGATCACTTTTGCCTGTGAAAGATTTTCAACTAGCACCCTTTTGCTTGATAATAAAGATACTTTAACCTTTTTTGTCTTTGAACAGATATCACACAGGATCTCTGGCGTTTGGATCTTTACTTATTGCATTAATTCAATTCTACAGGATTGTCCTGAAGTACATGGACAGGCATCTTAAAGGTAAGATTGCAGAATTTATCACAGATTTCCTGATTAGATAATAGATAATAGATTGTGGCAGTAAAAGTGATGATTGTAACTTGAACTAGACTAGTAAGGATTAAAGTGGTGAAGTCTGGAATGTGTTTACGAGGAAATCCCAACAAGACTTACAGAAGGATTAGAAGTTGGCAGGGAGAAAAGCAGTAATGAAGAAAAGAGCAACAAAGTGCATGATCCAATTATTAAGATATGAGACTCACTAGAAGTGAATTTTTAAAAAGAGGTTAAAAGTATTGGCTTGAGAAGTTGCTGTTGAGAAGGATGATAAAGTTGTCTCATAGCAGTTCCAAGTCTAAAACTTAAGTCAGACGAGGCTTAAAATGCAATGTGGGTTTCAAGGCAGAAGTCTTCATTTATGATGTTTATAGTTTGTAAATCCATAAAATATGCTTAAAATGCACCTTAAAGATAGCCAAGGAAATCTTGACAAGGAAGAATAAAGTTAGAATAAACAAACATCCTGATTTCAATGCACAATACAAAGCAACTGCAATCAAAACAGTATGCCACTGGCATAGGGTAGATATGTAAACCTGGAATAAAACAAAGATTCCAGGACAAACCTTTCTATGTATGATCATTTGATGGAGATAGATAACTTTTTTGCAATAATAGTGATAGAAATTGTATATGTAATGCAAAAAAAATGAAGTTGGACGCTTCTCACCATACATAAAAATTAACTCAAATAAATCAAAGACCTAAACAATAGAGCTAAAACTATTACACTGTTTGAAGTAAATGTAGCAGGAAATTTTTACAGCATTGCATGGATAGTTATTTCTTAGATATCCTATGAGAGGTCCAGGCAACAAAAGGAAAAATAAATTGGATTTAATCAATATTGAAAATATTCGTGCATCCAACAACACTATTGAGAGAATGAAACGACAACCCACAAATGAAAGAAAATATGTACAGATTATGTGCCAGGAAAATAATTAATATCCAGAGTATATTAAAATGAGTGAGGAACTTGAATAGCCACTTTGCCAAAAATGATATACAAATGAAACAATAAGCACATAAAAGAAGAATCATTTCACAAGTCATTAGGAAAATGAAAGGCAAAACCACTTCATAAACATTATAATGAATATTTCAAAGAAAATCCATAAAATAATACATGTTGGTAAGGATGTAAAGAAATTGGAAATTTGTGTATTCCTGGAATTGATTCATTTCCAGTGAGTGAGTGTGTTGTATCAAGTATAGTATTCTGTAGCATTGGTTCCTTAACTTTTCCTCCTTAACGGTTAAAAGTAGAATTTTCATATATCTAGAAGTTCCATTTGTAGATATACACTCAACTGAATCAAAAGCAGGGACTCAAAATGGTATTTATAGGTCCATGTTCAAAGCTGAAATAATCACAGTGGCCAAAGGTGGAGACAACCCAAAACTCAGTGTGTAATATATGCAATGAATTATTATTCAGTGTTAAACAGGAATAAAGTGTGAGCATTTGGGAGACTGATTTGAATTCCATTTGAGATATCTGTATCTCGTATTGGAGTGTCTTATTCAAGCATTGCAATGAGCACTCCAGGTGACAAGAGCTGATGGCACAAGCACCCGGGTCTCAGTCACCCGCACAGGAAACCAAGACTGAATTCTACACTGCTTGCTTCGGCCGGGCCCGGCTGCTGTGTACATTTGAAGAATAAATCAACGGGTGAAAGATTTCTTTCTTTCTTTCTTTCTTTCTTTCTTTCTTTCTTTCTTTCTTTCTTTCTTTCTTTCTTTCTTTCTTTCTTTCTTTCTTTCTTTCTTTCTTTCCTTCTTTCTTTCTTCTTCTTTCTTTCTTCCTTCTTTCTTCCTTCTTTCTTCTTTCTTCCTTCCTTCCTTCTTCCTTTCCTTTCCTTCCTTCCTTCCTTCCTTCCTTCCTTCCTTCCTTCTTCCTTCCTTCCTTCTTTCTTTCTTTCTTTCTTTCTTCTTTCTTTCTTTCTTTCTTTCTTTCTTTCTTTCTTTCTTTCTTTCTTTCTTTCTTTCTTTCTTTCTTTCTTTCTTTCTCTCTCTCTGTCCCCTGCCTCCCTATTTCCCTCCTTCCAGCCCTCCTTCTTATTTTTCCCAAGTAAATTGAAAAAAAAAGTGTTTTTTTAAAAGAATGGGACCCAAATATATGATACTATTGAAATATGCAAAATATAGAAGAATAACTATTGTATGATTCTGCATATGTGACAAACCTAGAAAAAGCAAATTCATACAAACAGGAACTTTAATGGAGCTTACAAGGATGGGGGCCGGGGAAGAGAGGAGCTGTTATTGAGTGGGCACAGAATTTCCATCCGGGATTTAGAAAGTTCAGAAAATTGGGCCCGGCAGCGTGGCTTAGTGGCTAAAGTCCTCGCCTTGAATGCGCCCGGGATCCCATATGGGCACCGGTTCTAGTCCCGGCAGCTCTACTTCCCATCCTGCTTCATGCTTGTGGCCTGGGAAGGCAGTCGAGGACAGCCCAAAGCCTTGGGACCCTGCACCCGCATGGGAGACCTGGAGGAGTATCCGGGTTCCCAGCTTCAGATTGGCGCAGCACTGGCCATTGCGCTCTCTTGGGGAGTGAATCATTGGACGGAAGATCTTCCTCTCTGTCTCTCCTCCTCTCTGTATATCTGATTTTGTAATAAAAATAAATAAATAAATCTTTTTTTAAAAAGTTCAGAAAATTGTAAAATATTGTGTATGTACTCAAGCTAGTGAATTTACATGGACATTTAGTAATAAAATTTTTAATATTTTGTGGATATTTTGATTAATAGGGTTTTGTTACAAATCACTCATAGATTTATATATCTTCTTCTCATAGATTCTCAGAGCAACATTGCAAAATTCTTTCACTGCTGCCTAAAATGCTGTTTCTGGTGTTTGGAAAATGTGGTGAAATTTTTCAATAAAAATGCGTATATTATGGTAAGTATACTAGTTCTTATTTATAAGCCTGAACTTTGCCGACCTAACCCTAGGTCTAACATTGCCCTCTCTAAAGCACATTTATGTCATGCAGTTGAAGGTATCATATATTGATATAAATATCCGTGAGCCAAAAACATAATTGAAAATACTTCCCTAGTTGAAGTATACACACACATATATAGATATAGATATAGATATAGATATAGATATAGATATAGATATTTAAAAGTGTGCTAGACTAAGAGAGTGTGGTTTTAAAAAGTCTGTATCTGAGTCTGAAAGAAATTCTTCCTAATTCTTGATTTTAGATAATTATAAGGAAGGGTTCAGTTTTTCTTATAATCACTGGGTTGAGATCTATGGACACTAGTAATGCTTGACTCAATTTACTACTTTTTCCTATGGGAATCTAGAGTCTTCTAAGATTTTGTTTTTAAAACAAGACACGCAAACGTACAATTCTTTTAAAGTTAGAGCTATAACCTTATAACACCTGCTCCTGCTACAATGACATAGGGTTTGGAAAAGTAATTCAACTAGTCACTAGTTTATTTCCAGTAAGTGTATTTTAGTTTCAATTTTAATCAATAAATCAAGTGAAAACAGACACTGTATTCCCCTAATAATAACTTTTAAATTTTTAAATCATTTAATTTATTTAATTTTTAAATTAAATAACTTTTAAATTATTAAAAATTTTAAATTATTTCTTTTTAAAAGATTTCTCCAAAGGTAGACATTGATCTACCATAAACAGCTACCCAACTTCTGGGTAAATATCTAAAGAAATGAAATAGGCACTTGAAAGAGACCTACACTCCCATGTTCATTAAGAATAATTTTTGGGGAGACCTGGCAGGGTAACCTAAGGGCTAAAGTCCTCCCCTTTCATATGCTGGGATTCCATATGGGTGCCAGTTCCTATCCTGGCTGCTCCACTTCCCGTCCAGCTCCCTGCTTGTGGCCTGGGAAAACAATCAAGGACGGCCCAAAGCTTTGGGACCCTGCATCCATGTGGGAGACCTGGAAGAAGCTCCTGGCTCTTGGCTTTGGGTTGGCTTAGTTCCAGCCATTGCAGCCATTTTGGGGGAGTGAACCATGGGATGGAAGATCTCCCTCACTGTCTCTCCTCCCTGTAAATCTGCCTTTTCAATAAAAATAAAGACTTTTTTTAAAAATTATTTTCCAGTGTGGAGACTACAATATTTAGCCCAGTCAGCAACAAACTCGTCAAAAACATTTCAAAGCCAGAAGCCATTATTAGGTCTTTGTTTAAGGTTGTATAATGCTCTGGAATCCAAGAGCAAAGAGAATCTGACACAACCACACTGCCAGCAACCCTGAGTTGTGCAGATTTGAGGACCCAGTTCCCAGGCCTTTCATAAGCCCAGATGTTGGAAGCAGTGCTAGTGATAGCTATATGGGTGACAGGGATTAATCTGGTTATTTTCCTATCACTTGATTGTCCTTTGGTCTTGTTAGGATATGATACTGATTCCAGAATAATATCAACTGTCTTCTTCAGATTGCAGTACATGGTGAAAACTTCTGCACGTCATCAAGAGATGCTTTCAACCTGTTGATGAGAAACATTGTGAAGTAAGTAATGGGGTTGAACACAGCAATAGACAGCTTAATGAACTTGATCATTACATCCTTTGTATGTTATTTGAAGTGGTTGAGCCTTATTAGCTATGAATGTTATCTTTAATTTGATAGATTTGATAAACACACTCCAACAAAGATCAGCGGGAACTATATCACATGGGTTTTGTTGTTTTCTGTTGGTTTCATCTCTTCAAAACACTTTCTTCTGATTAAATCATTCAATGACTTGTAAATCATGCAGTGGCATCATTTTCTTCAAGAAGATTCTTGATTTTCGCTTCTTCAGCTACATGTTATACATTTAATAGCATGTTGTTTAGCTTCTTGGTGTTGTTAGTTTATTTTTTCTCTTGGATGCTGAGTTTGTTTTGTGGCTCTTCATCTAAGGGAATGTATAGTAGTCGTGTAATGGAGACTGTCATATCTAGATTTTTAAGCATTCTAATAACATTAATTTACTTTCATATCTTAGTTTTGTTGATTCTATCATCCACCTGCCTTTACACCCATTAGTATTCACTCATTTTTATTTCTCTTCCATTGAAGAAATTCCCCAAAGTTATAACAATGTCATATTCTTGCTTTTTTAAAGATTTATTATTTATTTATTTCATAAGTCAAAATTACAAATAAGGAGAGACAAACCCTACATCTGATGGTTACCTCCCATGTGGCTGTACTATTGCTCATATGGAATGCCAGCTTCAGTAGCAGTGGTTTAACCTACAGTACCACATTATCAATCCCATCTATTGTCATTGTTTCCCGTGCTCATTTCCGAAAAGTATTGGAACCTAAACAGGAAAAATCAGATAGCAAAATATACCATCTTCAGGGCTCAGGGGGTCTTTTTACCTCAAACTAGAGAGAGGTTGGCACCACCACTGCAGGACACCCAGAAGTCCTACAATGCCATCTTCTGTTAACTTTATTAAAAATGAATCAGAATTTCATCTTTATTTACCTCTTCATATCTTGCATTTAACAGTTGCTGGGTGACAATGTATTTAAAAACAAAATTACACTTTCCCTTTTTTTTTTCTGATACTCAGAGTTGCAGTGACAGATGAAGCTACATTTTTAATATTACTTCTGGGGAAAATTCTGGTTACTGGGATTATAGGTAAGTAATATAAATAAAAAGTTTAAAAGGTGCTTGGAAAAACTAGCTTATTACAAAAAGCAATCTTCCTTTGCAAATGCATAATGTGACGTGCTCTGCCTTTTCACTGCAGGGGTCCTGGCCTTCCTGCTCTTCACGGAAAGATTGCCAATTATTGTAGAAGGGCCAACATCTTTAAATTACTACTGGGTACCTCTGCTGGTAAGAGCTGGCACCTTACTTTGGAGCTGCTATCACAGAAATAGCATGGATTGGGTGATTTAGACAACAGAAATATATTCCTCACCTTTCTGGAGATTGAGAAATCCAAGATCAAGGTGCCAGACAATTCAGTCCTCACCATGGTGTTCAGAGACATAATACATACTCCTGTTTGTGTTCTTAGAAAGGCACCAATCCCACATGGGGATAGCAGCCCCATGCCTAACTACCTCCAGCAAAGCCTCACCTTCAATTTCCATTGCTTTGGAGATTAGAGGTTTCTGGGGGACCACAGCTTAAACCTTAGCACCCAGGTCTGATTGACTCTGTGACTTACTAATAACAGCAAAATAAAAACCAGAAAGGAACAGAAGAAAGAATACTAGTTAATAACATCAGTCCTATTTTGTGTCACCTTCCATTCTGGTTCAGAGACCTGATTCCTTGGAAACAACCTCTGAGACAGATGATCATATGCAGAAGGCTATTAGAAAGGTCTCTCCTGAGATAAACAATTCCTAAGGAAGTGAGGTAGAAAGTGCGGGGCAGCAGGATAAGCTGACCCAAGTTTATGACCTCAGACGTAATTGCAGGAAGGTCTGGCATAACGAAAGTCCTTTTTATGCAGTGTCAGGCAGCTGTTGGCCACACGCAGAGCCATGGTGTAACCTTGGGAGAGGCAGTTCCCTGCAGGGAGGGCAATTCTAAGTCAGAGAAGCACTGAGTTATCAGCAGCCCACATTAATATCTCGGGATGGGTGAGGAAGCAGAGCGAACGATCTGGGTGGAGCTGTGTGGTATAGATTGCAGTATATTAATTCAATCCACATGCTGTATATACTGTTATCACTCACATTCTCTGTCCATCACCACCACCATTTTCTGTGGAAAGTACAGAGAGGTTAAGCAATGGTGAGGAGTGCCTGTGCAATGAATCATAACCAGGTAGTGTGTGTTCTTAACCCCTTATGTTGTATTGCCTGAATGCACAGTGTCCTATAAATGGAATGTTTTTGGTAGATACTGGGGCAGGGGAGCAAGCTTAATAATGGGAAGATAATTTAGTACATTTGGTTTTAATCTGAAGAACACACAAAAGCTTTATTATTGAATACTTTGGCCTCTTTATTGAAACCATTTCTAACAAAGTGCTTCAAGAGCTCTGTCATCATGGCTTTTGTATATACCTTCTATTACTGTTCTTCCAGGTAAGTCAGTGACATATCGGTTCTCTTCTTTACTTATTTACAGACTGTCACTTTTGGATCTTACCTAATTGCACATGGCTTCTTCAGCGTCTATGCAATGTGTGTTGAGACAATTTTCATCTGCTTCTGTAAGTACTCAGTATGTGTATTTTCTGCAATCCATGGAGAAGCAAGAAGATGAGGACTGGCTTTAGCTGGCTAGTGGAGTGACTGCTACCTGGCTGCAACTGCACAACAGTGTGTGCAAGGAAACCATGTTTAGTAGATGACTTTTAAACCTGAACAACTGAGAAATAATATTTGTAAGACAAAAAAAAAACCCAATACTGTATGACTTCATTTATACGTGGGATATAAAACATTGAATTTCTAGAAATAGTGGAAAGGGTGGTGTCCTAGTCCAAGAGGGAGAGACCAAAGGATAAGGAAAATAAGGAGATACTACCTAAAGGGTACAAAGCTACAGTTACAAGATGTACAAGTTTTGAAAGGCCAACGCAGGTAGCATTAGCTATAGTTAATACTGTATTGTATGCTTAAATTTTACCATGAGACAAGGTCCTATGTATTTTCACCAAAAAAAGCATAAATAATTGTGAGATGATGTGGTCATAATTTCACAAGGTATACATATTTGAAAACATTGTAGACAATATATGAATGAATATATAATGCTTATTGTCAATTATACCTCATATCTATGAAGAAAATATAAAATTATGAAATAGTAGCCTTTAAGAGCCAAGAGAATGGGATTTGCAAAAAACAAAGAATCAGCTACTGAAATGAACCTCAGATTATATGAAGCGTAGCTGGCATGAAATTATTTTTCTCACTTCTTCACGTTTTTAAGTTTAGAATAATTAAATGCTTATGTTGTGCTTTATTAATATAATTGATGACATAAGTAGACTTTAGGAACTGGATTTGGAAAGTCTTTAAAGAAAACCTTTATAGATTCTAATAAATCAGTGTCTTCAAAAGATACGCAGGCAAGTTTATACCAGGCAACCAGACAATGGATCAAGTTTTTAGAGGAATATGTCTCAGAGGCAGGTAGATTAAATTAGAGAACTGGGAATAAAATATTTTCTTCAGAGCTTCTATCACTTGATCCTATGCTTTGTCTCTTTGTGTGGTGTGCATCTCACGTACACAAAATGGATGCTTGATATGAATCTAGGATCCAAGAATTTCTATAGAATGTGGTGCCCAGCAGGAACTTCAGTGGGCTCTCACTTTCATTGTCACATCAGTAGGTAAAATAACAAAATCTGCTAGCCATACAGCTATATGTCCCAAGAGATGATTTCTCTGATACATTACTCTTAAGAGAAACAGAGGAAAAACAGCCCCTGACAAGGCATTTCTAAGTAATACTTTCATAAGATGGCATAAGATTTGTTTTTGTTTTTGTGTACAGTAACCCACAATGTCAACTTCATCCTGGAGACAGAAAAGGTGATTGCAACTATAGAAAGATGCATTCTAGGAAAAACCACCAAGAAAGTTGTCTGTCCTTTTTTATTTTTCTGGACATGTCAAAATTCACTTTTAATAACAGAGCAAAGAAAAAAGAACGCTGTGTATTAGACTTCTTCATCTGGCTTTAGGTGGAATTGGAATGTTTGCATCGATCCCTAGTACCTCTGGTTTGTTAACCACATGTATCCACTCCAGTTCAGGTATGGAGTGAAAGGAGCCCTGGAAGACAGCAGTGCCTAAGTCACAGGACATCAAGGCTTTGCAATGCCTAGATGTCTTCTTACGGGGCAACACTTGAGAGGCCTCTGGGATCGTCCCCATTCCAATCATTAGAGAAAATATCTCATAATATATCTCAGGCAATGTCCAGAACCTGCCAGTTTCTAGTCTTTGGAATCCTAAACTAACTGTGTGGATTTTATATTTTGAATTTAGGCAATAAGGAATGTTTTCTACAAATCTTCATTAATCCAAAACCATTTTTTTAAGGCAGGTATAATAGCAGCTTTATTCCTTATGTGGACATTAATTTCTTTCATCAAACTCATGACTCTGATAATAAACAACAAGGATAACCATGTTGTATTTTTTATCCCTCCTCAGCTATTACTGTGGGTAACATTATACTCTTTTAAAAGAGCATTCCTCTTAAGTGATACCCCAAGCCAAACTGATTGTGAGGAACTACATTTTTACTTTTTAATATATATTTGTATTTTTCCTGGATACAAAACAGTGTTTTTTAAAGTGCTGTCTATTTTAAACCCTCCACTTACAGAAACACAGCATCTTTTTAACATTACACAGGATTAAGAATCTTGGTTTTGGGCAGAGAAAAAAGTAATTGTAAATGATTATTAATGTGATTCAGACCAGGCTTCCCACCGGTACCTCAAGGGTAATGATGATATAAACATGATCATATGATATGATGCATAAATAAGATTAAGGACAAAAGAACAGAAGTTTTCAATGTCATGTTCCTTTCTTCCCTTTTCATTTTGTATGCAAGGAAGTTCACCATGAGGTCTAATATAAAAATGTGCTAAATCAATAATACATCCATTCCCAGAACAGCTTAGTTCTGCATGTACTTGCAGGGAATAGATTCCATGCAAACGTCTCCTTACATCTTAGAATCAGTTCTAGTGTTCCTCCCACCAACCACCAAGCAGACTGAGTGCTCAGTGAACATGACATCAGCCTAAACAAAGTAGGAAAGTAAATTCACAAATTATAAAAGTCAGAAAGCACTAGTATTAGCTTTCCAAAGTCGTTTTTTATTCATTATAGAAACAGGAAAATGGCAAAAACAAACAAACAAAAAGAGGTAGGGAACTCCCATGTAATCTCTGGGCCCACTCTCCAAATGCTCACAGGAGCCAGATCTGAGCCTAAATCAGGACAGCAGTAATTAAATCCAAGACTCCCACACAAATGACAGAGACCCAACTATTTGAGCTATCTATCACCAGCTCCTTCCCTGGGTCTGCACTAGCATTGGTAGTAACCTGGAAGCTGAAACCAGAGTTGACCGCCATTTGCTGATTGGAAGCATCTTAATCCTTAGTGCAAACATGTACCTCTGATAGTAGCTTGAATGTAATCTAAAGGGAACATTATAAGAATTTGGGACAGGATGCCTTGTTGTAAACAGGATCATTGGACCAGGTGTCAAGGGGCTGTATGCTCATCTAATCCTCGGAGCTTTCACTTTACTTTGCTGGTCATTAGATGCTTCATCTGTTATGTAAAGATGTGGGCAAGCATTCAAGTGAATCTAGAGATCGATGCTGTGACACAGCAGGTTGAGCCACTGCTTACAACAGCATCCCACAGGGGAGTGCCACCTACAGATCTGGCAGCTACTCCACTATGATCCAGCTTCCTGTTAGTGCATCCTAGGAGGAACAGATGATGGCTCAAGTACTTGGGCCCTGCCACCCACTTGGGAGACCTGGATGGTGCCTGTGGCTCCTGGCTTCAGCCTGGCCCAGACATGATTGCTGCAGTCATAATGGGGAGGAACCAGTGGATAGGAGATTCATCCTCTTTCTCTCTCTCTCTCTCTCTCTCTCTCTCTCCCTCTCTCTCTCAATCTTTCATGCTCTGTCTTTCAAATAAATACGTAAGTCTTTTAATTACTGTACACTTGCAAGCTCAATGATTGCATCTGTTATAGGGCTAGTACACTTTAACAACTTGATATTTGAGGATGCAACCATTTATAATTTTGTGAAATGAAAAAGGAAAAAATGAATGGAACTAAAGATCATTGTGCTAACTGAAATAAGCTAAATACAGGACATAGGCGGTGTGTTCTTCCTCTTACAGGGAAGTTAAATAGATACAGTTTATTTGAATTTAAAATAATGATTACAGAGGCTGGCAAAGGAGAAAGAGCAGGGCAAGAGAGAGCAAGATAATGGATACCAAAGAGCAGTCAGGTAGAGGTATGAGGTTTTGGTGTTCTATAGCTCAGTGGGACAAACCTAGTGTACAATAACAGACCACATTCTGTATTAAGATCTTGAAGAAAGGAACTGGTTGACCGCAAACACAAAAATAAAGAAGTGGTAAGTCTAAATGCTTAATATGACTGGTTTATGATATATATGATTGCACAGAATCCATCAAAAATGTACAAGCATTTAATTCAGCAACAAATTAAGTCTCCAAATTGAAAAAATGAAATAATAGACATGAAAGATCTTATTAATAGCTAAATTCTCAATATTAATCCTCTTTGGGGTTGAAACGGATTGGTGGAATCTTAGTACTTCCGAGCAGGGTTGAGGCATCTTGCTTTATCAATTATCTGCACCTTAGCAGCGTGGGTTTGTGTCACATGTGACTTTCTAACAGATTTCTCTGATTTTTTTCCCCGCTTGATTCGCCAATTTACGCAAACATGTATAATTGTCCTGCTGTGACTCGCTGCTTTTGCCCTGCTTTGGCTGCTGCACATACAGGTGAAGATCTGGAAAGAAATGATGGATCTGCAGAAAAACCCTACTTCATAACCCCTAACCTGCATGGAATTTTGTTCAAAAAGCAACTCGTTCCCCAGAAGCAGAAAGAGCAGAAAAGCTCCAAACAGTGTCACTAACTTTTAAGTTGAGGCTTTGTAAATGAGGTCAACTGTAACTTGAAGATGTTGATTTTGAGTAATGTAACATTTCTGTACTATTTCACATAGGTCAGCACCTGATACCATCTAAGTTATCAGGTTTTTGATGACAATGGCCTCTGTGAAGTAGAATACCTTTATATGCAGGTCCCGGCTGCAGAGCAAAGTGTTAATGTCAGACCTTTTTAAAAATCTATAGCCGAGAATGTTTCAATCCCTTTTATAACTCAGTGTGCTGTTTCCTTTGCAGCACTTTGATAGCCTTCCTTTTTATAACTGTATATTTGTAAAGGATATTCAGGCAATTTTTTGAAATGTGTAATCAATTAGCCATAAAAATAATGACCTATAGTTAACCACCATATGGTACTAGATTTGTAAATATGGTGCTATGGTTACATTTATACTGTTCAAGCTGGTGGACAACTCTCTAAACTGTGATTAAATGTGTATGAATGGTTCCCTAGGGAGTATATTTCAGTAACTTCAAGTTTATAGCAAACAGTTATTAATGTTACACAGGTTCTGCAGAGAGCATTATTGGATTAAAATTACTGTAAAACTTTTATAGCCGATCCTTTAGTAGCGAAATTATATTTAAAAGTTGAACCTAAGTTCTGGAATGTCATTTTCAATAATAAGAATTTCTGGCTACTATGAAAGCTTATTGGAGAAAACTGAAAATGCCACATAATTTATGATTTTTGTCTCTTACTCAAATTTCCTGTTCCCACCAAATAGAAGACCGGTATGGATTTGTTTCAGAGAATGATTTGCCTTTTCTTGAGCATACCTGTATTTCCAGATTAAAGAAATTGTATAGCTTTGTTCTATAAAAGGTTTCATTTTAGCTCAACTTTCAGTGAGGAATGAGAAAAGATAAGTAAGGCACTTTAAGTGTGTACCCTAAGGAAGAGTGTTAGCCCTCCACCAGGTACCTAATCTGGTTCTTTGATAAGGAATTTACTGAGCATTAGGAAATCTCCCTGCAAGGTTCCGGAGAAGAGTTCTCACCACACCCGCACCTGCTGGACAGAGCAACAAGCCAGTTGCTGAGAGCCATGCCTAAGTCTTACCTGGCGGAGCAAAGCATGAATCAGACACATTGTACCTTGCCTGTCAACCTTACATATGCAAACGCATTTGACATTGCTAACAGTTTCAAGATGCACTCCAAAAGAAGCACTGACTCTGTTAATGTTTTTGACACTAGACTTGTTTACAAGCATTATTTGTATATGGATAGAAAGGAACATGCTGATACAATGTGTTGGTCTGAATACAATCTACACATCTAAGAACAATGTCAGAAATGTATTACTGTGTGACAAATTACTACAAGTACTGGTTTAATTATCTTGAAGTATAAGAACTTAGATTAGATGGACTCTTAGGCAGTTAACTAGCAAAAAGTTAATTAATAGGGAAATTTTCAGAATAGTGGTGCATTCCAACTTGTTCTTGGCTTACTTTCTTGAGATTATTGTAGTCCAAATTATAATGTGGTTGTGCATTTTGACAAAATGCCTTTTTCACTCTCAATCTGTTGAAGCAATGAAGAGAGATAACCTGTTTTCTAGATTATTAAATCTAGATCACTAGATTTTCTAGTTAAATAATATTACTATTTGTTATTAAACAGTTAGAAACCACAACAAAGATCAGTTAGAATAATGATCGCTAACAGAACTTGTTAAAAGTACAGACGCCTATGCCCTACTCAAGAGACTGTAGTAATATGGGCCACCCTATGAAACCTTATAAAGTTTCCAGTTGGTTCTGATACACATAAAAGTTGGAAACCAACTTGAATAAAAATGTACATCGACATGTGAGAAAAATGTTTGTTTAACCAAACTCTAGGCTTAAACTAGAAGAAAATATTCTCTGTTTATTACTGCTATTTGTAACTGTAATGCATAGGGTAAAAATGTGTGCTGTTTTTCAGAAGAAATTTAAAAGCTGCTTTTCTACAAAGCAATTAAACGCATAACTACTGTGAAAGGAAAGAGTACTATTGCATCTTGTAGTTGAATGGTTGAAATTCTGTATGGCAAAATTTTAGAAATCTTAGTTTTCAAGGCTGTACTATTTACAATGTTGTCAGCAAAACCAACAGAGTTTTGAACAAATGTGTTAAGTTACAAAATAAATTGAGTCCTAGAAGGTAAAATTTAATTCCTCAAGCATGCAAACTTAGGAGTATGCAATGCTAGCAAAATCTGACCTAGATAAAATCATTTTTTACTATCATAATAACAAGGGCTGATCATTTTATCATACCTACATTTACAATAATGTGAATGCCTGTTTTGTAAAAAGTGTGCTGTTTTGTAAAAAGTGGTATTTTAAATTGCTGTAAGACAAATATGCAGCAGAGGGCGATATTACTTCTCTTACAGCATTGCTTTGCTATTTACTCTGTGCCATTCTTCCTCCTAGTGGAAGATTTAGACAGAAACAGTGGCACTGTTACAAGACCTTATTTCATGACTGGATCTTTGCTGAAGATTTTGTTGAAGGACGATATAGGAACTAAGCGCCAGTAGAAGAGCAAACCGATCACCCTGGAGCGGTCTGTTACCTTTCTCTACCTGCTGTGTCTGCACCACTAGTTTCTGTGTTTAGCAACACTGCTGTATTCACAACCTTGTTGGCTTGCATTTGCATGTTTTATACCAAAGCTTATATGTAACATGTGAAGCCATCAGAAGTCCCAAGGGAATTGTGAATAACATGGAACATTTTTATATTGAGATCTTTTGTTTTGTAATTCATTTTTAAATAGAGTGGCTTGGATGTTTTGAAAAAACCTACTGAATATGTTAATATTCTTTTAAATACTAAAGTGAAAATGATGCATTACTTAAAAGGATAGCTCCTAGTATATTTTTTAAATTACAATTGAAAGACTTCTGCAGGGAAGATTGGAAAACAAAGTAAAAGAAAAGTTTTTAAAACCTTGCCCTCTCCTGTTTGACAGTCAACCAGTAAAAGGATTGCCTGCTCCAGACTTTGCTAAGTATAGAAATGTTTCCTATTAAGCAAATTGCCCATCATCCAGCCTTTACTACTTCATCCTCTGACAAAGTGCCTTACTGGCTGTGCAATATTACCTACCCAGCTTTTGTGGGCAAGTTTACAAACATTGTTTAAAAAAATTTAAAACCTGCAATGCTTAATGATTAAAAACAAGTCTTCTTACATTTGTTTTCCTGCTTGGCTCACTGATTGGAAACTGCCTGTCATTTTAGCATGTTTGATAGCCTCGCTATTAGAATATACTGTGCAGCATAAGCAATTTTCCTTGCTCCTAGTGGACATTCACTAATGTGTACTATACGCAAGAAAAAAAAAAACTGAAAAGATGCTTGTTAGGTTTGTGTTTAAATAGAAGTTTAAAATGTAATCTTTTCTATAGTAGACCTATGAAAAGACAGTAAAATCACATTTCTTGGTGTTTTACAGATTGGAAGGGAAACTTCTAGGAGTTACAAAGGGAAACTACCCCTCAAGAGGGTACTCACAGATGTCATGTCCTGATCAGCTTCATAATAAATTGTTTATTTTCACTAAAGCTCGTTCTATATATGTCATTTCATTTTTGAACTTTTGATATAAAATAATCAGCTTACTTAATGTTACTGGCTAATGTGAATAAGAATCTGGTTTCTTACTCAGTTTTTAATTTTACTAGTAAAGAAAATTAATTCAGTCTGTTACTTATTGCTACAGAAAGAGTTCACAAGAAACATTTGCTTTTACAGAATATCAGTTCCACAATGATAATTGTGACAACTTTGTGAATCAATCATAATGAGTATCTATGAGTTTATCTGTTATCACATTTCTTTAAATGTGACTAGAAACTTTTGTGCCAAAAATAAACTCACTTGAGCACTTGACATTCTGAGCTCTATAATCAGTGTACTTCTGCTGTGCAGAAATATTAGGAACATATTGTCTAAGTATCTTTGATAACAAAAACTGTTTAATATTTAATGAAATTTGCTGCTATACATTGTTTTAAACCAAATTTTCTTCTAATAAAGATTTAGATAAGAAATAATTGTGTACCTTTTTGTTTAAGATAGAAATGATTAAAACTTTTGTTTTTAAACCCCACTATGCCATGACAATATCTTTTTAAGATTTTTTTAAAATAATGTATTTGAAGGATAGTGTGCAATGGCCTTTTTAAAGATTTGTTTTTATTTACTTAAAAGGCAGAGTAAAGAGAGGAAAGAAGAAGGGAACGAGAGAACTAGAGAGCTCTTACATCTGCTGGTTCACTCCCCAAATGGCTGCAATGGCTCGGGCAGAGCCAGGCTGAAGCCAGGAGCTGGGAATACCACTTGCCATCCACTTTGGTGGCAGGGTCCCATCATCCATTGCTTTCTCAGATACATTAACACTTGTGTTGAAAATGAAGTAGCCAAGACTCCATTCTAACATGGAATGGGATCATCCTACACACTGGCTTACACAGTATCCTACCATGCCACCATCCTGATGACAGTACTTTATCTGTACCTAATGCCTAAGTTATTTTTTTTAATCTGGGCTTATCTTTTAAAATTGCCATTTTCTTTGACACTACCAAATCAAATAATTGAAACTCATCATTTATCCAAAGAAACTCCAAGCTAAATGAATGTGACTTGAAAAAAAGTCTTAAACTAATTTTTCTTTGTTTTAATTTGCCAAAAATATGATCAATCCCTCCTTTAGTTTTCCCCATATTCAGGATAAAACTTTCATCATCATCAAGGCAGAATGAGTTCAGAGAAATAAAAAGTGTGAACACTAATAATTTTCCAAAGTAATATTTACTGTTCTTATCACTGGATTATCTCAGGCTACAATTTTTCTTATGCTCATACATACCTTAAGGAATATACAAGAGTTAGTATTTTGGTGGAATTATAGATTAAACATTCAAAATTTAATTTCATTTATGGTTCAATGAGTCTCAAAACATAAAGCAATGTTTTTAGACTTTTCAGTGTTCTTTTAAAATGTTCTAAATCTAATTAGATATTTGTTAATATGCCTAATAATTCTTTTCTTATTTAAAATTGTAGCTTAACTTCCAGAGGAAATTAAAATTGTTTTAGATTTTAACATCTTTCACCTTTGGATAATATATATATATATAAAATATTGGATAATATATATATAATATTGGATAATATTGGATTATATATATATATATATATAAAACAACATGTGTGCAACCAGACTGATTTATTTTTTTTCTTTGTGCTTGAAAAGTTTAAAAGGAATTGTATATCCACGTAGTAAAGTCACACAATGGAACATTCCATGGGCTTATTAACTGTGATGTGATTATTATCTAGGCTGATGCTGAGAATGGGCTTCGTGCAGTAATCCCAGACTTTCCTTCTAGTATATAGCTGAGCAGCACTCATTCCAATGTGTGTTGTTTCACTTTTACAAGTGGAACCTCAGGAAATTGCTCTTAAATTCTAACCAGGCATAGTAATTATCTTCAGTATTATCTGGTTCTGGATTGGAGAACATGCTTTATAAATCAGGCTTTCTTGGCATAAGATACAGGGACAAAATTCAACCAAAATCATTATTGCAGACCATAGTATGTGAAATGGTACCTTAAGGCTTTGTCCAGTTTCATGCAAATATTATCGTTGAATTTTTGAAATTTGTAATATTTTTCATGTAGATATTTTTATGAGGATACAATTCAATAAATCATTAATGAAAATACATACTTTATCAACATAACAGATGCATTTTCTACTGAAATTTTACAGATTGCAAAAATTGTTTTTTATATGAGCTATCTAATTCTGCTTACAGTCTTCCTCTGTCCTTTTTCTTCCCTACTTGCTAGTTGTTGAATTTACCTAATGCATTGTTAAACCTGTGATTGTGAAGTGAACCGAAAGTATGCTGTTATAGCAATTTAAGAAAAGAAAGGAAGGCGGAGGGGTTCAGAACGTGGACAGAAGAGAGGATAGGCTGGGAAGTATCACTGTGCTCTTAAATCTGTATTGGGAAATATATGAAATTGGTTCACTTTAAACAGATAATTTAAAATCTACAAAAAGAAATTAAGCCCTATAAGCTTATGATATAACTCATTATTCAGGAATATAAAATGGATAATATATGTTAATGTACATATACTATTTATTATAAATAGTACATACACTATTATTATATTATATTATTTATAGTATATACACTATAATGTACATACACTATTATTAAACAGATAATATATGTTAATAATGTACATACACTATTTATACATTACATGCACACTGAAAAACATATCATGACTCAATTACTTCTTTCAAGTTCTTTCCCAAATACCATGTTTTTAGTTTGGGGGCTAAAATGGGGAGTAAAGACAACCATTATTTATAGTGTTTACCGAACCTACCATCACTTGGAAAATAAAGCCAACACCCCATTAAGGCAAATGTGATCTTAGTTATGAAAATTGATTACAACCTTACACAAGGTGTGGACCGAGGATATCTGTCATGGGCCCTCTTAAAATCAGGCCAGACAGAACCACCATCTTCTTCATGTACAACTTTCTAATAATCTGGACTAAAAGGTTATATATATATATATATATCTTATACTATATATTATATATATAAATATATATTTTATATATGTATTATATGTAAAACATATATGTGTTTTATATTTATATATATAAATATATAATATAATATATAATATATAATATATTAATATTAATATATAAATATAATATATAATATATTATATAAAACCTGGCAGTAACATTTATAATGGTTTCTGTGCCAAGGACTGGTACATGCTATATTTAACAACCTTAAATTCATTTTTTAATTTAAAGTAATTCCCCCTTTCATCTTTAAATCTAACTTGTGTTGGCTTCTCTACTTGCCTGGATCTGAATAATGAAAATAAATGAGTAAACTGCAAGTAAAAAAAAAAATGTCATCTACCACTGGCTCAAAAACATGCCATATTTGTGGTTGACAAAGGTGTGAGAGGATTATCAAAGAAGAAAGAGTTTTTGCATTCTGCATAAAAATTAAAGAATCTAGACTTGATCCATGATTCTAAAACCATGGACTTTCCACGTTTTTGTAGTCATGAATGTGCACTGTAGCATGTGTCTGCTCAGAAAGGAGAAAAATGAGAATAAGATGTTGGGAAAACCATCGATACCCAGAAAAAGAATAATAAAGGGGGGAGATCCAAGAGGCCAATATGAGAGGAAGTGGTGTGTCTCCTGAATCCAGATCATTAATCTACTGAAAAAGAAAGTCAGCAAAGCAGAAACTGGTAACTAAGCAAATAAAATATATTTTACTCCTCTGGTAAGCAGCAGTGAAGCAGACAGTTACAATAAACTCATCAGATAGATGCACTTAGCTCAAACAAAAAATGATTTATGATTTAAAGATTAGAACAGAACTGCCTCTTTTTTTGCAGTGTTCTTGTATGTCGGCCAAGCTTTCTGTCATGAGTTGGTATTTTACTCTTTCAATATGATCGCTTTCAGAATTTTTCTTATTTCCTTCTTCCCAACTTGGTCTTTTCCTTTGTCTTATTTCATTTTTCCTTGCCTATTAGAAACCACAGGTCTACGAAGGATGGGGTACACACAGGGGCGGGGAGAATGAAAGGTCCATAGATGAGTTCTGAACAGCTCTGGGACTTGAGAAAAGTCTAAGGAACTGGCTGACTGAGCATGGTGGTGATTCACATGGGCTTTAGAATTGGAGACAGAACAAGCTTGGAGGCCAAAGTCATCCTGTCGTTGTAGATGATGGACGAAGTACTTCACTGTTTCAGAGGCTTTTTCAGCTCAAAATTGAAGCGGACCTCCTCACACTGCTGAGATGATCTGAATTGTACTCATTACCGGGGGAACATAGACGGTGCTGAACAACTGCTAATAGGGATATGTTCTTGACCAAGTAATTTCAGCACCATTGATCATGTCACTTTACCACCCACTTTCTACCTCAGCAGGAGGCTTGTCTGGGCTTCTCTGAGAAGCTAGGAAACAGCATCCTTGTAGTGGGAGTCCCCTCCCATCCCCATCGTTGCACCCAGGCCAGAGTTAGCAAGAACGATGTCTCTGGGGTGGCATTCCAGCCCAGTGTGAGATTTGTTTAACCCAGTTTGAATTCTTTGTTTGCAGATGATGTGGCTCCTTTTGGGTAGGCAACAGGAATTTCACTGAAATTCTAGCTGTCCTGACATTTACTTTCTCCTTTTCTGTTTTAATTCTGGCATTATCTCAGATTTGTGACGCTGGCAAATTGGATGGCATTTTTACAGTCCTTTAACCTTTACTTTTTCTCCAATAAATGACAAAAACTGAGTTATAGTGAAACTCAATTCTGCATAGCCAGGTGGATGTAGTGCTTAGAACTGAGGCCATGGAGCCACTCTACCCATCTGGCAATGATTTTCCTCTGAGAGCTTTGTGCACCCAGGTAGGCTGGTGGAAAGACTTGTTTCATTCTGTACCCATTCACTGGCTTGCTAGACAGGAAGCCCTGGATAAACTTCAGC